ATCATCCTCCCCATCCCTTCCGCTGTCTACGTCTTGCCCACACGATTTCTTGTAGCTTTAAAATGTTTACACAATATGAATGGTTGGTCCTTCACTTAGCAACTGCCCCTCTTGTGACAATTTAATTGTTTTGTGTGATTCCTTCATATTTCATTTATGTTATGTAGGTATATACTTTTATCGTAGCAGGCGGTATTTTAAATGTTCGTCCACCAAAACAAAGCTAATTGGTAAGCAAGAACGAATGCGATTGAAAATGAAGTCTTATATGATGAATGAAATATTAAAATTGCTACGCTATTTATCAGAAGAAACAAGAAATGATGCTGCCATGTTAGTCGGGTCTATACTATATTTTTTTCCGAATGTACGTTTTTCTTTGTTGCAGTCTTTTGCAGAATTAAAAGAATGCTTTCTATCCAGATGAAGAAGAAATAAGAAAAATACATTTGATTTTATTTTTTTTAAATAATATTTCGATACAGATCAGAAAAAATTCTAAACAGATTTCATTCATATTCAGCGCTAAATCATATAATGTTAAGGAAAACGTGTCCACTAAATTTCCTTAAATTATCACACATATTACCTAACACAGAGGGTTTAAAATTATCAGGAAATTCGGAAATCGGGTGGAATGGAGTTAGAGGAAGGTCTGGACTGATTGCAGTAACTATTGGCAATACTCAAGTATACTCGAGAACTTGTTGTAAGTAATTTTATGAAGATAACTCACACACCAACCGACTCATTTTCTAGGTCTAGAGTGAGCAACGTGGACTTACTAGATTTCACAGATTGACCGATACTTTCGGTAAAAACTCAACCATATCCGCTGGCACATATTTGATATCTGGGGGCCTAAAATGTTATGATTTAATTGAGGCTATGTTTAGACGTGAGATGGAATACCTTAAGGATTTATTTGTGCAAAGTTTAAATGTGATAGCATCATGTTATACGTACATATATACGTTTTATATACTGTAAAATCTATAAATGCTGGAACCAATCACTTTATTAAGTTGAACTCTTGGGTTGGGGGCACAGTCATTTTAAGAAATGTACCTGTTAGTTGGCCACCTAAGTCATATGAAATAAATGTGTCAAATCATTGATCTAGTAAATAAAGTGGTTCAAAATTAGGACGACAGGATGGTGTTCATAAGATTCAGGATGATATGCTCAAAATTTTCTTCGAACACTAAACGCCATGAATTTTGCACCAAGTTCAAATTGATTTTTTCTTTGATGGTTACATTGTATTACTTTAAATCATGCAAACACGTACAAGGGAGTTTCACGAATTGTGTCGCATAGTTTCATCGTGATTCGTAATACATATTCTCTAGCAATTAGTTTAAAAAACACACGGCTTATAAAGCAATCCTCTTTCTAAAGACAAAATAACCAATTCAAATTCATTAACACCGTCATATTCTCGCAACATTTTGCTACAGAATATAATAGTTTTGTACACCTAACAGTTGTTTGTAACACCTAAAACTAGTCGAGATAGATATAAAATTATTTATACACATATATATATTTAAAAGATCAGTATTGGGAGACCATTTGATTTCCGAATGAGTGTCTGTCTACCCATCCGTCCGTCCGCCCGTGCAAGCGATAACTTGAGTAAAAATTGAGATATTTTGATTAAACTTAGTCTTCGTGTTCCTTGGCACATCTTTACAGAATATAAATTAAGCACCAATAAAGTGATGGAAATTAAACCTAGTGAAAAAAGTGCCTCTGAGGAATCACGTCTAAAAATAGTTAAAATCGGACCATATATTTTCAATTCCCGTGGCTATAGCGGATTTTATACCGAAAATATCGGTAAAACTTTGAAGCATATGGGGTCTAATCATTGAATCAGTTTCGAATGAAAAACTTGCCGATTCAATCGAATTAAAACAATTGAAACCGTGTCGAAAACAAAATTTTCGATAAAGTTAAATTCAGTTACCTACTCGATAAAATACATTGAAACCAGGAAAACGAGAACATGTCGAAATCTATCCGTATATGAGTGAGTGGCGGAAATTTAAAAAATGGGGCATTTATAAGTATTTACGTGAAAAAATTACTAAGGATCCACTAAGTTATGTTTAAAAGTGTATTTTAGATACAACATACAATACAATACAACATACACATGTTGTATCTAAAATACACTTTTAAACATAATTTAGTGGATCCTTACTAACAAAAATTTATTTGGAGTACAAAGTTGGGATTTTCATAAAGATGGAACCAAGTACGAAAAGTTTGTACAGATTTTAAGTTTGCAATTAAAAAAAATTCCGTGTGACACTCGGGGACTGCCGCGATAAAGCTATTGCATATGATTTTTTATCAACTTATGCAATTATAATTATGTTTTTTATTTTTTATACAGTATTTTTTTTTTCTTTGATATTTAATTAAGTTACACTTTTTGAGCGTGGTGATCGATAAGAAAACAAATTGTTTTCTTTTATTGAATAAATGAGAAATTAATAATATAAGTTTATGGTATCTGAAATAAGAAACATAAGTTTAAGACTTGATATTCTCTAAATATCTGGAAAATACCGCGTCAATGGTGGTCCCATACTTTGTTGTGGATTCTTGTGGATCATTATTCATTTTCAAATTAAATTTTTCAGAAATAATATTTGTCAACCGCTCTGATATTTTATCACCAAAGTTGATGTTGAAATCGCCAGCCAAGATAAGTGAAAATTTATTACCATTGATAATCCGATGGAAATACCTAATTTCAATTGTATTGTTCAAGTCAAATGAGATACTGTTCCGAAAGGTGGCGTAGCAATTAACCACAATAACTAATATTTTTACTCCGAATATTGAATAATTTTTTTTATTAATTAAATTTTTATTAACTTCTATGTTTTTATTTGGCATTAAAAAATCTCAATTGATTTGTTCCGGTTAAGATATGCCCAAATATGCCTAAAAGTATGTAAACATTTCGCGCATACTGTGGAATTTCTTGATTCAGTCCCCGTTTTCAAAGCCCGCGATAAAAGCTATGCAGTAGCTTAAAAAAAGTAGCAAAAATTCAAAATAAATTTCTGGAACAGAGGTGCGTCCTTCACAAAGGAGGCCATTGCAGAGAATGGAATTAATAAAGAAGAGCTGTTAGCTGTTCTAAAATGTAAAATATTATTATTGAACATCGAAAAAGCGCAAGTTCGAAAAGTTCACCACCCTTTCAGGGAACTCAACGAACTACACCACTCTATTACGGAACCAAGCAAAATGTATCGGTAGATGTTCTTTGGCATGCATGCATAAACGAAAATTAAAATAACAAAAAGAAAATTATTTGCCCTATGACAAGACATTCTTTAATTCACTGATGTAAGATATCTTTAAAAAATCAAATGAAATCGTATATTGTATATAATAAGTTGGATATGCTATAGCCGAAAAAGTCTGAAATCTCTATAGCCCCTATATACTACAAATTTATGGAATTTACACGAAAGTAAGTGGATTTCTTTTTATACTCTCGCAACCTGTTGCTACAGAGTATAATAGTTTTGTTCACCTAACGGTTGTTTGTATCACCTAAAACTAATCGTGTTAGATATAGGGTTATATATATATAAATGATCAGGATGAAGAGACGAGTTGAAATCCGGGTGACTGTCTGTCGGTACGTCTGTCCGTCCGTCCGTCTGTCCGTCCGTCCGTGCAAGCTCTAACTTGAGTAAAAATTGAGATATCTTTATGAAACTTGGTAGACATGTTTCATGGTACCGTGAGACGGTTGGTATTGCAGATGGGCGTAATCGGACCACTGCCACGCCCACAAAACGCCATTAATCAAAAACAAATAACTTGCCATAACTAAGCTCCGCAATAAGATACAAGACTGTTATTTGGTACACAGGATCACATTAGGGAGGGGCACCTGCAGTTAAAATTTTTTTTTAAAAAAAGTGGGCGTGGTCCCGCCTCTAATAGGTTTAATGTGCATATCTCCTAAACCGCTAATGCTATAATAACAAAATTCACTGGAAGCAAATGTTTTTAGCATTTCTATTGACGGTGTGAAAATAGATGAAATCGGGTGGCAACTCCGCCCACTCCCCACATAACGGTACTGTTAAAAACTACTAAAACCGCGATAAATCAAGCACTAAACACGCCAGAGACATTAAATTTTATTTCTGGGATGGTATGAGATGACTTTATAGGAACCGCGTTCAAAATTAGACAGTGGGCGTGGCACAGCCCACTTTTAGGTGAAAACCCATATCTTGAGATCTGCTTAACCGATTTCAACCAAATTCGGTGCGTAACGTTCTTTTCATGTTTCTATGTCATAGTGCGAAAATGGGCGAAATCGGATTACAACCACGCCTATTTTCCATATGACACCATTTTAAATACCACTTGATTCTTTCACTTTCCACTATGCAAATCAAGCAACAATGATTATATCGGCGTAAAACTTTGCGTGAATAATGCAATTAAAGTATGCCACCTTGCGGCCAAAAATTGTCTAAATCGAACCAAAACTGTTCAAACCCCTAAGTACTAAATATGTGGACCCCAGTGCCTATAGTTGACCTTCTACCGAAAATATCAGTCAATACACAAAGAAATCTCAAACGAGTATACCATTTGACTTTGCGAGAGTATAAAATGTTCGGTTACATCCGAACTTAGCCCTTCCTTACTTGTTTTATTATAAAAATTTCTGACAAAAAAAAATGTAGTTATGAGAGTAAGTCTGCGACTTATAATATACAGAAGTTAATAAAATACCAAATTTGAATATAAACCGTTCATTTTCTTCAGATAAGGAATGTTGAATTCTTTCGAGAAAATTTTTAATATAAACTTTTTTCCCCGCCTTTGCAAATTGTCAGAGTTTAAAATGTTCGGTTACACCAGAACTTAGCGCTTCTTGTTTTTATTTATCATTATAATAAATTTTAACCTACTAGTTTAAAATAACAAACTCTCTTTCATTTCAGATGTATTCAAATAATCCACATAAACCTTTAACAACTATTGAGTGACATGCGTTTTCGGCCCTAATGTATTCAATCACAGTTTTTTATTCATGCGGTGACTATAATGTCAAAATTCACTGGAAACAATAATACATCACAAATTACATGTAAATAGTGTAATTGGTATTAGCGCCAGAAATGAGTTTTTTAAATCTATATCTATATCAAATTTCGAGAAATTCTTAGCATTATCATATGTTTAGATTATACTTATTTGTAGTACTGTTATTAAAGTCAGTACTAATTGTTAATTGATCCATCAGCTACATATATACAGTGAATCAAAAAAACTTATTCAGGGAGATGGTTTGACTTTGAAGTGACTTATTTCCACCTTTGCCCTCTATCATGGTTCGCGAGTCTTTTATTTTTAGAATACACCAAATGCGTAAGTTCAGGAGGTATATTTTCTGAAGAGCAACTTTGCTGGTATGGACTCCGCGGAGGGTGCAACAGCACTTGTTTTATTGTACAACAACTATTCCTTAACCACTAAACTGAAATGCTTCGGGTCGTTATCTTGAATAAATTATAATTGTGTTCAGATGCTGACGGAGCCAAATTATTTTTTATTATTCACAAGTATTCCATTCTTTACATAATTCCTTCGATGAAAACAAGGTTACTGACGGCATTTGCTCCCACTACATTTCTTTTGCTGCCATTGTGCCACACACCTCACAATGCAGCCTCCTCCATGCTGAGAGTTTTATTAAATTTTTTATTTATTAGCGCTTAACCTTCTTTACGCCATACGAATCGACAACCATCAGATCCAAATAAATCAAATTTGGACTCATCTGTAAAAATTACATAATCCTAAAATTCGTTATCACGGTGGATATACTCTTTGGAATATTTTAGCTTCCTACAACTCCTTAGCGTTAGCGGCGGTTGATATTTTTGGGTGTTTCAACCTGGGGCGTGTAAATTTTTTGGGCATTCCACTACCATCAAGTTTTTCAACTCCACTAGTCTTTTTGAATTTAGCAAAAATGTACTGAACAATAATATGTATTTTATTTTAAATATTGTCTATTTCGCGAGTAAATTTGTTCTCTTGCCTTTCCTATTTGACTATCAGTACCTATAAATCTTTAGAGGTTTGTTTATTCACCATTTTGTCTGCAAAAACTACAACCGCACAAAATAAATTCGCTTATCAAAGAATACATTTTGACCATACTCAAATATTATAATACCAGATAAAAAATATCGGTACCTACTTGAACCTGCATTTAAGTATTGCCAATGTAAGTGTACAAACTTTTTTGCCTTCTAATTTTTTTAATTGTTTGCAATCGTTATCACCAAAATTGATTTATTTTTTAAATTTTTATGAATGTTTCGGTTTCAAATGATATTATATATGCAAACTTACTTCATACTAATTGCTCTATGTCTATAGCTATGTATAATCAAAAATTATTTACGCTAAGTTCATATGATTATTTTTACTTTAAGAATTACCTAGTTCAAATCAGAAAATCTATTGTCTCGTCAAATATAAATATATACGTATTAGAAAAAATGTATATGCTTAATATTATGTAGCTAAAATAAGTAAAACTACTTACTCATATAATGAACTTAAATTTACTTACATACATTGTCTTTTATTATATATGTACAAAAATATAACATATTTACTATACTCATGTGTGCCAAATAAATTTAAAATATATAATATATATTGATATTTCGCCTTAAAAATTAGAATTGAAAATATTGAAATTATGCGAGTGCAAATCACACATTCGAGTGTGTGCGATTTCATAACAAAGTTTGTGAACCAAGTATATATGGATATTATATACATATATGAAATAAGTTTTGATGTTCAAATAACCATTTGAATTACGTACTATACATAAATATGTTAATTGTTTGTGCTCTTTTACTTTATATGAGGCTGTAATCATCCACGTAAAAGTTTCGATAAGTTTGTCATATGCTCAATAACTTTTCGACTACACTTGTGTACAAAATAAGAGTACTTTAATAAAAAATGTTATTGAACTCATTTGGTGACGCTGAACAAGAAATTAACTTCGATTATGTTTCCAAATACGGTTTGTCAAAAAATCTGCTTTCTGAACCTTTTACAGTTCACCACAAACACACCTTAAAATGAATAATAAAACTACATAATATTTTCCACAAAAAATATCCGTTTGTGATTCACTTTAATCACTAATCCTTCATCTACTGCCGTTTTCTTGTTCAGCAAGCGCAAATTAGTTCAACAAGGTATTTAGATTGTAAATAATCTCAAAATTATTCAATAAAGTAAAAAGTTATCCATTACGGGTTTGTTGTAATTTACTTTAATGATTATGAATAAAATAATCAAAATGGGGAAACGAAAATAACAAGTAAGGTACATGCCGAAAGCTGTTTTAGTTTCACGATTTTCTTCAAATGGAGGCAATTTAAGGCCGTTTCGGGGACAAAAATCGCAAAAATTAACAGCGGGAAACGTGAACGAATTAAATCGAAAATCTTAATATACATATGTGTTTAATGAAATAAACATATACCTATATTTTGGTTTTATTTTCCCTTTTTCATGTGCAAAATTATCTTCAAATGGTGAAACAATAATATAAGTTAACTTCGGTTGCACCGAAGCTAGAATATCATTCACATATATAAAAGTTTCCATACTAGAACTTGAGTTTGATTGTTCAGTTTGTATGACAGCTATATACTATAGCGACCCGATCATTGTTCGAGACTTGTAGCGTTACTTTGGCTAATAAACTATGCTAAATTTCGTGAAAATATCTCATAAAATAAAAAGTCCTTACAAGGACTTTGTTTTGATCGTTCAGTTTGTAAGGCAACTATATGCTATAGTGCTCCGATATCGGCGGTTCCGATTAATGAACAGCTTCTTAGAGAGAAAAGCAGATGTGCAAAATTTAGAAATAATATCTCAAAAACTGAGAAGCTAGTTCGCGTTTGTCAACCTGATTATATATATATATAATATATTAGGGTGGTGAAAAAAAATTTTTTTCCCCTTGATATTTTGAAAAATAGGTTCTAAAACACTTCTACGAAAAACTCACCAAGTATGAGCTCTTGATTGTGACGGGAAGGTCCTCCACTTTAAATTTTTTTATTATACTCTGAACAGGATACTTGTATATTAAGTTTGCCACGAAGTTTGTAATATCCAAAAGGCAACGTCGGAGACCCTATAAAATATATAGTTGATTTAGCCATGTCCGTCTGTCCGTCCGTCTGTTTATACGCGAACTAGCCCCTCAGTTTTTTACCTATCGATCTGAAATTTTGCACTTGTCCTTTTCTCACTAAGAAGCTACTCATCTTTCGAAATGGCCGATATCGGATCACTATAGCATATAGCTGCCATACAAACTGAACGATCGGAAAACTTTTTCATTTGACGAGGTATCTTCACGAAATTTGGCATGGGTTATCATCTAAGGCAATATTGCAATCTCCAAAGAAGTTGTATAGATCGGGTGACTACAGCATATAGCTGATATATTAACTTAACGATCGGAATCAAGTTCAGTGAAGGGTATTATAGCTTCGGTGCAACCGATGTTAAGGTTTTTCATGTTTTTGTTTATTTTTTAATATCAGATAGAAAAATTCATATATTGCTTTCACCTACTTGAAAAAATATCTCATTTCATTGATGTAGCAAACTAAATGCTCTACAAAATGGTCTTTTACGATTTTTTTCGTAAAGCTAGCCGTTTAAAAGATATTAACGGTTAAAATTTGATTATTTTAAGGCAAATATTCATACTCTTATAACATGTTGCTACAGAGTATAATAGTTATGTTCACAAAACTAATCGTGTTAGATATAAGGTTATATACAAGTATGGTATACATATATAACATAATTGTTCATAATGAAGAGACGAGTTGAAATCCGGGTGACTGTCTGTCCGTCCGTCTATGCAAGCAAGCAATTGGACACAAATCGCCATTAATCGAATACCAATAAATTGCCATAACTAAGATCCACAATAAGATACAAGACTGTTGTTCTGTATAACAAATCACATTAGGGAGGGCAACTGCAGTTTAAAATTGTTTGTAGCCCTCATATACCTAATTGAAAGATTTTCGTTCTTCCGGCTGACTTTATACTGCATATATCGGTTAATATGTGATTTATTAATATTGAGTGAGCGTGTTTTTCTAATAACGGTATATCTGTGTGCCTAAAATGGATAAAATGGGATGAAAACTTGCTCCACAAATATCAGGATTTTCAAATATCGTTTGACTTTACTTCTTATACATATATTACTGATGGTATGTCAGTTACCTGAATGAAACTGAGAGAGCATTTTTGCCGTTAGCATTATGTAGTAATGCCAAAAATAGAGAAAATCGGGTGAATATACCATATATAAAGTTTTCAAACTTTATATTGTGTAACACTGAAAAAATTTTAATGTAGTAGCAAAACTATTTTTCCAAACCTTATACCAAATATTTCGGTCAGTATGTGAGTAATTTTTTTTGCTTATAAAATTGGTTGAAAATGTTTTCACGAATATACCTTAAAAATGTCAAATGTTAGTGTAACAAGCTTAGAAATTTATTTGCCCCCAATATACCCTGTATAGTGATTTCTAACTTTCCAGCTGACTATAAAATGTTTATGTTGGTCAAAATGTGTGATGCTTTAATGAAATTAAGTGGACAAGTTTCCTTAAAAATTATAAAATATTATATAATAAATATCCATCCTCTGGTTGACGTTTTCCACTTCATCTCAATATATTAAATTTAGCCTCTACGATTGAGTTTATATCATGGATGTTTTTAATATGACCTTAGCTGACGCGAAGTAACATATAACAATAAAATTAAGTGAGTCTAAGACCTATAATATAACTTAATAAAATATCAAATTTGATTGTATTCCATTTAGGACTTCGTTAAATAATGAATGTTGAAATTTTTCGCAATATTTTTTAATATAAAGCTTTGCCAACATGTGAAGGCATTTCACTGGCTGTAATCTGTTCGGTTGCACCCGAACTTAGCTCTTCCTTACTTGTTTTTTTTTTTTATAACTTTTTAACTCGACGAAAAAATAATAATTTCATATTACATAACTTACTGCCTTGGCAGATTTCGCTCATAAATTTTTAATTTCTGTTCAAATTTAAAAAAAAAATATTATACAAACACCAAATACGAGTTTCGAAAATTTGACAGAAATTCAAATGTTATACAAAATTTAAATATAGTTCTATATACAGTGCGATTCAATATTATTCTTTAGTTCATTAGAAAGTGAGATCGATATAGAGCGGCGATACAAACGAGAATTACTAAAATGCGCTTTTCGGTACGGCCATCAGCTCTTTCTTCGATTTAGACTTGATCTCATTAATTGTGGCAAAACGCTTTCTTTTCATTGGTTTCTTCAATTTTGGGGAATAGGAAAAAGTCGAAGGGAGCCGAATCTGGTTAATACGGTGGTATACGGTGGTGGTAACGTCATTCAACAACTCGATACTAATGCGACATTGGTTTTGTTCAAAATTTAGCAATTTCAGTCCACACTTTCGAGAAAATTGAATGGCATGAGCCGATTGATATGCCAACATCCTCGGTAACTTCTCTAATAGTGATTCGACGATTTTCAAGAACAATTTTTTTCACTGTTTCGATGTTTTCTTTGATTGTTGGCGTTGTCGCACCTCCAGGATACTCATCGTCATCAACATCTTCTCCGTCTTCTGTAAAGCGCTTGCACCACTTATAAACACATTTTTGAGACAAAGTGGACTCACCGAATGCCACAGTCAACATATCAAATGCCTTGGAGCACTTTATTCCATTTTTACGCAATATTTAATACATATTCTTTGATCCATTTCTTTCAAAAGTCAAAATTCGAGAAGCACATAAAAACGTGACTAACCTTTTCTGTTGTCAAAAACTAACTACTAATCGAAATTGGACAATTATAACAAACACTAAATATCGATAATCGAATGTGCAAAACCCGCGAAAAATCAAAATTCACCTTTTCCTTTGAACAAATCTCGTATATCCTATTCAGGGTACAAAAATAAATGCAAGGAAAGCGTACCTAAGCAATTTTTGAATGATCATATTTTTAGTGATAAAAAAACTAAAAATAAAAAAGGGCGTTTTGATATGTACAAAAATAATATTTAATTGTAAGTAAATATGCTTTGGTATTATTTATGGTATTGGTTCCCTGTAAATGCAACAAGTTAAAAAAAAAAGTTTTCTTGGCAATTAGTGATCGAGTTGTTAGTGCAGAAGTATATGGAAAAATTCTGCCCTCCAAATAAAATTGACGTGTCTTCAAGAGACCTTTATCTTAAAATATTCAATTCCCTCCACCACGTTTTCAGTACAACTATATATGATTTGCTGCCAACCGTTTATTTATTTTGGTTTTCCCTTATTCAATGCTTATTGTCGATCCTCAATTTTCATTTTCATTACAGTTCCGCCAACACTCACTTCATTTTTGAAAAAGGTTAACACAGCCTTTAGGACGCCGCGCGGAATCTGATTGGGCCAGGTATCCGTGTCGAACTCTACTGTTTTTATATAATACTCGCCGGCTGGTAAAGGACACAATCCCTCATCGGGTATGAACGGGAAGTTCGTATTTTCATCCTGTTTTAGAGAAGGTTGTACGATTTTCGTGTACAAATCTTTAAATCCATCGCAAACTCTAGTCATTGGCACACCCATTGGTAGTTGCTTGTATTGACCATCACCCTGTGGACTCGAGAATAATTCAACTTGAAATTTAAAGTTATCACTATCCAGGTCTTGCAGTATTGCGACCGAACCATTCACAAAACGTTGGCGACCCACAGTTTTTAAATTTGACATCTCGACGCATGTTTCCCGCAGTCCTTTGAAGGGTTCTAGCGCTTCATTTTGTACCGTATACGGTTGTTCAGCCTGAAATATAAAGCAAGTGATCTGAGAGTGATTTCCTTCATTATTATAAGACACATTTGTGCTTTAAATATTTTCAATCATATTACCAAGCAAACCCCAATCAGGCTAATGTATACAATCGTGACAGTCAAAATCCTCATATCGCCAATGGGAACTATTTTTAAACTAGATCCAAAACACAAGTTGTGTATTCAATAGATTCGTCATCTGGTATATATAGGTATGTAACTCGAGGTGAGCGAACGCGACAAACGCCATTGATATCGAAAACATGAAATAGTACATGTACACTTGTAATGCTTTCGTGTAGTTTGTTTGTAATTAAAAATAAAAACGTTCTGTTATGCAACTGACTGCCTATTAACACTAACCCACTGATATCACGACCTCCAAATCACATTCTTGCTACATTTAGAAATGGGTAGTTCAGAAAATGTATTACAAGTACATGGAAAAGAATCATTTTTAGTGCTTTGTAATAATCAAAGGTATTTGATGAAATCTGAATGGATAGAGGAAATCTACAATTTCTCAACTAACTAGATCGATGCAGTGAATAAGAAGTACGACAGATTAAAGATCAGACTGATCCGTGGTTAAAGTATTGCAACATCTTTGTGAAAATGGAAAAAAGGACAGAAGGGTGCTGAAATTGAAGGTTCTTTACAACTCCCTAACCTGTTGACTGCGAGTTTAAGTATTTACATATCTTATACAATAGAATTAAGTTCATCTATGCATATCGGAGAGCTGCAACGAATGCATAATTTCCATATATAATATATTCATACCATGTACAATATATTGATTGGGAGAAGGTTCATATATTCATACATTTCGTGAACTATACGGAGCAATCTCCGAAACCGAACAATATCACTTAATAAAAATTGGAACAACCATTATGCTTGCCCCTCAAAAATCAATGCCAGAAGATGGACTCTTTACATAATTTACAGGTTTATGTTTAAATAAATATTAATGTCGACAAACAAAATGATTGCTTAGGAAGGGTAAGTTTTAGTAAATAGTTTCGTATTATCTCAACATTATCAAAATCCAACAATCCAATGACGAATAAAATCAACTGACAGCAACATTTGAATTTGTAATAGAACATTTAAATAAATATAGAATAGACTATTTAGCCGGTTCCACTCATAAGTAGTTAAAGGTAAATAGTTTTTGACCCTTTTCAAACATAAAAATGAACGTTCTGCGCTGCGATTTGCCACAGCTATGTTTATGTGATGAATATTCGACGCTATATCCACGTTTGAAAACTCAGGTCGGATGGTCTTTCTCAGAAGGATACGCGTGAAAGTGCACCACCAACATGTCAATCAATGAAAAATTAGAGTCCGAGTTGTAAATTTTCGTTAAACGTTCTGAACTTTTTAAAATTTCTTTGAAATTTATTTTGCAGAATTCAGTGATAATGGCAAATTTTTGGTTGACTTTTGGCTTCGCATCTATTCCGCAATTCAGAATCGGGGTTGTAAAAATGACGTTAAAATTGTTAACTCGTATTTTCCTAACCTATCAGCTTTTAGAATCTTTGACTGACAGCATTAAAGCACAAAAATAAAAAATATCAGAGTCTGCAAGAACGTAGTTTCGAGTCTTCTCACTTCTTGCCTTACATTATCGTTAGTACAATATTTTACTGTAAAATCGAAAATCTACAATTAAGAAATCTGTAGATAATAATCTTATTTTATGTTTTAAAATTTTCGGCCCCAGAATCTACCGCCCTGTGCTCGAGCCCGAGAGCTCCTATTGTAAATCCAGCGCTGAATATAACAGTGTTAGGATCGTTATCCGTCTAATGAATTGCACGGAATATATTATATTTCATAACTATGAATGGTTGAATCAGCTACTTTTCGATATTTTAAGCCAATCACTTGAACTTTAATTTCATATCAAAACAATGACATTTTTCGAGCTTTGTTTCAATAGCAAGATATGTATTTATGATATATAAATATATTGTATGTATGTATGTATATGGTTTGGTTTCGGGTTGTTGTCTGCAATAGTAAAAGAGCTTTTGACGAAAAATTCAAGCTTTAATCAATATTAAAACTTTCTTAAGCATAGATGAATGATGTACCTATAGGCTAACAAATGTAGTTCTGTATCTATAAATAGTATCAAATTAATATATATACATCAAAATTTTTGATTTTGAGATACGATGTTTAAAGTTTCAAGTCCGCTTAAAAAAATATGCTTTTTTGAGAGTCCCTTATGGCGATTTCAACTTTTTCGGTTGCTGCTGGTGGAGGCAGTGATATTAAATCATTTGAAGACAAAGAAGCACAAAGTGGCAGCAACACTTCTCTTCAAACTTCAATCATATCAGATTTTTCCATCGGAGAGACCCCAGAATTTACCGACGATGGTAGGCTTGTGGGCGTACCACACAATTAATGAGAATCACAGTTTCAGGTTTGTTATTCAAAGATTCATTTAAAAATCAGCAGTTATCGTTCGATTCAAAGTTTTTCAATCTTTTTGTTGTACTTGTAAAACAAACGACTCCGCAAATATTTCGAAACTGTTTCCACATAAAAAAAAAAGTTTCGTGTTCAAGAACAAAAAGTGAAGCGATAATCCCCAAGATGTTTCCTGTCGCCATTTGTTATTTTCTTCCATTATCTGGAGTGAATGTTAAAATAATTAAACTTTCACAAGAAAAATGTAAAACGTCGGATAAAATTTTTTCATTGATTGAAAGAGCCTTGGAAAATGTTAATTTCACTGAAAACTTTATGTTTTGTTGTTGTTGTTGCAACGGTTATCTTGTCCCCGCTTGGATGATAAGTTATAGTTTGGTTGTCTAACGGAAGGCCCAAGAAAAAAGCTGTTTCGACGGGTCGGGTCATAGGGAAAAGGGTGCTAGATGAGTTGGGTTTGTTGAACATGCAGAGAGCATGCAGAGACTCACGCACGCAGGACATATGTTTTGAATGTGGGGGTGTATTCTGAATAAGTAGGAGTTTAACCTGCTACAATATCCAGAACGAAGTTGCGCGAGGGTCACTCTGGTTTCGCGAGGCAACTCGAGCTCTACGTCGACTATGGATGGTGGTTTGACTAATAGTACGCCATTCAGTGAGAAGGAGTCGATGAAGGTGTTGATGGCTCCACTGTGAACTCTGGTGGGGAGTGAACGTCGGAAATACCAAGGCCTCAAGTGTCTTCACTACTGGGGAAAGGAGAGTTATCGGGCGATAAGACTCCCCTTTGTTGGCGGGTTTCCCAGGTTTCAGTAGTGGGACCACTCTTCTGACTTTCACACATCGGGTATTTGAAGAGTGGACATCGACAAGTTGAGGACCTTACTCCCGTCGAGCCTAGATGTTTTAGCATCAGCATGCTTATTCAGTCAGGGCCTATGGATTTAGACGATTCGGATTTTTTGATGACATTCTGAACCTCCCCATCGGTGAAAGTAAGTGGTGCGCAGTCTTTTGGCATTTCGCGCAGACGTCGGGTAACACATCATTTGGCCTTGTCGGTCGAAAGGTGCAGTGTAAACTGCCGGTTAAAATAGCTCGTGCACTTCTTCGGGTCCGAGGAGGCATGGTCATCGAATTGAATTTCTACCCGGTCGTCATGTCTCCTCGGATTAGACAAGGCCTTGACAGTAGTCCAAAGTTTACTCACACCGGTGGAGAGATTGCAAGACTTCAGGTGCTCTATCCATTTTGTCCGCTTATGTTGATTTACCATTTGCCGAATCTATAAATTGAGATCCCTTTTTCGGGGATCACAGGAATCGGAATGGCGTAAGGTGTCGCGCTCGTTTGCTAATACAGATGCTTCGGATGGGAAATTGATCGCTTACTGTGGTGACAATGCGTCAATTAATTTCGGTCGCATTGATCGGAAAAGTGAATGAAATGTTTTTGCAAAATTAAAGAAATTAAAATCGAATATACTTGGTGGAGGTTGTGCAGCACATATCGTGCATAATGCGATTCGTAAAGCATGTAATGCACTTGATATTGAAATAGAGAGCATTGTTGGTCAGATCTACAAACATTTTTACATCCACACCATTTGTCCAGAAGCATTAAAGTCAATCTGCAAGATTTCTGAAGGCGAATACGATCAAATGGTTGGTTAATGCAAAACTCGGTTCATTGGCTTGAGGGAAGCTTTGGGAAAAATCATTCGAATGTTCCCATCTTTGAAAACGTATTTCGGCGACCTTCCCTCACCCCTCAAAAAAGCTAGATGAATTCGCAAATTTTTGGCTAATCCACTATCGAAGCTCTGGTTCATTTTTGTCCATGAACAGGTGAAACTATTATTTTATTAACAGAAATTTTTTCAAAATTTAAAAATTATTTAAATGTTAGCTCATTAATTTTAGGCCATGATTTTCGAAGAAACAATAAAGGAAATTAAAGGCGATGATATTCCATTCCCCGAGCTTCTTCGAAACATCACTCAACAAGAGAAATCAGATCAGACCAAAGAAGTCTTCAACAATTCCGAAAAGCCCGTCCACTTCATCAACAGATATACAAACGATCGAACCAAGCAGTGATTGAATCTTTTAATCATTTCTATACTCTCGCAACCTGTTGCTACAGAGTATAATAGTTTTGTTCACCTTACGGTTGTTTGTATCACCTAAAACTAATCGAGTTAGATATAGGGTTATATATATAAATGATCAGGAAGAAGAGACGAGTTGAAATCCGGGTGACGGTCTGTCCGTCTGTCCGTCCGTGGAAGCTTTAACTTGAGTAAAAATTGAGATATCTTTTTGAAACTTGGTAGACATGTTTTTTGGTACCGTGAGACGGTTGGTATTGCATATGGGCGTAATCGGACCACTGCCACGCCCACAAAACGCCATTAATCAAAAAATTACCATAACTAAGCTCCACAATAAGATACAAGACTGTTATTTGGTACACAGGATCACATTAGGGAGGAGAAAAATTTTTTTTAAGTGGGCGTGGTCCCGTCCCTAATAAGTTTAATGTGCATATCTCCTAAGCCGCTAATGCTATAATAACAAAATTCACTGGAAGCAAATGTTTTTAGAACCTCTACCCGCAGTGTGAAAATAGTTGAAATCGGGTGGCAACTCCGCCCACTACCCATATAACGGTACTGTTAAAAACTACTAAAAGCGCGATAAATCAAGCACTAAATACTTTATAGGAACCGCGTTCAAAATTAGACAGTGGGCGTGGCACAGCCCACTTTTAGTTGAAAACCCATATCTTGGGATCTGCTTAACCGATTTCAACCAAATTCGCTGCATAACGTTCTTTTTATATTTATATGTTATAGTGCGAAAATGGGCGAACTCGAACTACAACCACGCCTATTTCCCATATAACACCATTTTCAATTTCATCTGATTCTTTCACTTTCCACTATGCATATCAAGCAACAATGATTATATCGGGGTAAAACTTTGCGTGAATAATACATTTAAAGTATGCCACCTTGTGGCCAAAAATTGTCTAAATCGAACCAAAACTGTTCAAGCCCCTAAGTACTAAATATGTGGACCCCAGTGCCTATAGTTGACCTTCTACCGAAAATATCAGTGAATTCACAAAGAAATCTCAAACCAGTATACCATTTGACTTTGCGAGAGCATAAAATGTTCGGTTACATCCAAACTTAGCCCTTCCTTACTTGTTAATAATACTTTGCTTTCTCTTTTGTCATTTACATTCTTTTTGAATAAAATTTTGTTGCTCTCTCACATATTATATATGGTCACCTAATTCTAGATACATAAGTTTATATAATAACTTGAGTGTTTAATATCCCAAATTGAGTCTGGTGAATTCTGAAGATTGGAAAAAAATCCAAAACTGATCTTTGTAGGTGTTTTACAAAATTTTGCTGATCGTAAATAGCAGTGTTCGTTAGTAGATATATCAGATTATTGAAATTTACAGTGCATCTTTTGCAACAGTTATACATAATTTTATACGTTTCTATATAATTTCAACACATCTGAAATTTTTTTCTTAATATTTTCCGAGTTAACCAACTAATTGAAAACTATCAAAGAAAAGTTTCAGGCAGGTGTCATTTCAGTACCTAAAATATGTTAAGTACTTCATGGGCCAAGAATTTCTTTGACACAGCCGCTAGCCTTTTCCTGTACTGTAATTTGTAGAATAATAGTTCCGACAATAAAAAAGTCGTAAATTAAACGCAATGAAATATTGTTAGGTCAAAGGTTAGGGTTAATTTTTCGAGATTTCTGTCTTCTTATTCCGCATAATACACGTTTCTTATACAAATCGTGTTTTAAAACTCTTTAAATCGTTACGCTTTGTAACCTACTAGAGGACCCCGTCCACGCGTTGCTGTGGCTAAGGTATACATTAATTACATACTATTAAATACAGTAAAATTAAGTGTGTACGTCTGCTTGGTGGCATTTTTGAAAACGAAAATCCAACTGAAAATAAAAAATTACTCCCTTATATTTTCTGTTTGTCCATGTATACAAAATTTTAATATTGTGTAGTCATCAAAAGTTACTAAAAATCGATATTAAGCTGTGAACTTACCGTGATTAACAAACACTTATTAGCAAACAACAAACTTCTTAGTCTTTAAAACAAAACAAACTTTATCAAAAACTTAATAAAATTATTGTTAGCGCTATGTTAGGTTATGTGTGTCAGATTACCACAGATTACAAAATAGGTTATTCGAAGTTTGTATACTGCGTTCTGAAATCTAACTCATAGTATACATATTTTATTATTATTAAATACTTACATTAAAATAAAATCATCACTGGTATTATTAATATTACCGTCAAAGTCGGTACATTTAATTGTGGCGAGTAATTTTCAAAAATTAGTAAATTAGTGCGATAGAATTTAATTAAGTAACCACATTTCCGAACAAACGATGCTCTTTCAATATAGTCTATGGCTGTGAATGACGATGACATTCGTTACGCGCGTTTTTTAAAATATGCAAAATTAAATGTATTTTTTCAATCTTTCTGAGACATTTTCTGAATATTTTTAGAACCTTCTACAGAGTATTAGAAAACTACAAAAAGAAACAACAGCCAAATCGGTCTAGCCGTTCTCAAGTTATAGCGTGACAACGGGAAACGTTTCATTTTTGTATATATAGATTACCTTGAGTGTTGAAATAAAGTACATACATAAGGGAGAAACATTTGAGTCGCAACTATGGTATATGAGAAAATGTCTCAGCAAGACAAGGCTTCCGAAACTCCAGTACATTGAATGAACTAGGGAGGAAACTAAAACTTTCCCGTTGTAGAACTCGTAAGGAATTTGCTAAAAAAGAGGTGAATGATCACACCTACACAAGAGTTTGGTTAGAATTGTCATTTGGGTATTAAGAAACTCATAGAAATTTTACAGAAATTTCTGATAGCACTGGGACTTTAGCGATAGATGGTTTGCAGGGATGAAAAGGTCATTCCGCATTTGTGAAAAAGGCAACTCTGGCTATAACAATTGCCTGCGGAGAAGGAAATAACAAAACAAATGGGGAAAATACAAAAGCTCTTTGCAACATATTGACAGGATAATTACGAATAAGCTTTTAAGCTCGCTGACTGATGAAAATAAATATACGAGTAGTACGTAGCATAACAGCCAGACAGATTTTAGCATTCAAGAGAGTAAACCATCTGACAAGAAAACTAAGCGACGCGTATTAACTTTGCTTTGAAGTGGTAATGGAAAAACTTTGTTATTAAAATGTGCGAAAAATATTAAAATGAAATGAAAATACCAAATGTGCTCAACTGAAATACTTTTGATTCCCCGGTTAAATTTACGTTCTTAAATGAAGGACAGTTTTTAAGTGATTTTATACACATATCCTTGCACTAAGCCATTTTTGTCAAGCTCATTTCTATACGCATATCGATGTATATTTGTATGTCCTGCAGCTCCTGTATGGTTAATGTGAAAATTGGTAAACCACAAATGGATTTTTGGTGAGTAGATACCAATGAAAACTAATTCCCAATTTGTTTCTCGGTGATATTAAACTAATGATTCATCGGTGGGAAAAGGAAAAACTCCAATCTCCCAGACAACTTATGTGACTCTGTTGAATACAGAAAATATATGTGTACATCCTCAGATATGTCCATATAAAAAAGCTATTTAAGCGACTTCATGTATGTATGTATGCGTTAAGAAACATTTGTTTTTATACATTTTGTTTTTGTTATGCTTTTTTAATAGTAACTTTAAAAAAAATTAAAACTGCAGATGTCCCTCCCTAATGTGATGCTGCATAACAAATAAGAGTCTTGTATCTTGTTGTTGAGCTTAGTTATGGTAATTTATATATTTTTGATTAATGGCGTTTTGTGGGCGTGGCAGTGGTCCGATTACGCCCATCTGCAATATCAACCGTCTAACAGTACCGAGAAACATGTGTACCAAGTTTCATTAACTCATCTCAATTTTTACTCAAGTTACAGCTTGCACAGACGGACGGACGGACAGACAGTCAGCCGGATTTTAACTCTTCTCTTCATCCTGATCATTTATATATATAATATATAATCCTATATCTAACTCGATTAGTTTTAGGTGATACAAACAACCGTTAGGTGAACAAAACTGTTATACTCTGTAGCAACAAGTTGCGAGAGTATAAATATCTTAAAAACTATAAGTCAGCGTCAGCTATATATTCTTTATCTGGAGAACCTCCTCAGCTCATATCCATTTTAACCCCGATTTCGGGAGATGCTATTCTAAATACAATAAATATACATATGTATATATGTGTATTCACAAAAGTTGCCTATTTACGTAGGCACGCAAGATCGTTTGTTTACATTGAATTTTATCTAAAAGTCTTCGTTTTCGCCCAGAGCCCATTCGCCTGTACTGGTTATTCAACTACTAACACCTATTGATTTCTGTAGCTATATTCTGTAGCTATATTCTGTTAGCTATATTATGCATTTAAAATTTAATTTTTTTATTTTTCATTTGTTGTAATTCTTTGCAAATTTCTTCAAATACCTTGGAAAATCCGTATGCCTTTCGAGCAGCGGGCCATGCTGATGGATGTCCACTTGCACACATATGCCACACACATTAAGGTCGCAAAAACACACTTACATTAACACATCCATACGTACGAATATGACAAACTTTTTTATGGAGTGCTGCTTCCAGCAGAATGTTAGCAAAAGTTTGATTAACTCGCTGGTTCGGCGCCATTGTTGATGCAAATTTCTTGGATGCGCTTGTGTGTGCACCGCAACAAAGATAGCAATTAGACGTTATTTTGTGGCCCACTTTACATTGCAACCCTCTTTCTATTTGTGAGCTGTAGTATTACTGCTTTGTCAAAGTTTACGGTTAGACAGAAAGCTAAATGTGAAATGTGACATAATGCAAAACAAACACAAAAGGATAATGCTTATCTCTGCTGCGTATATATTACAGCGGATTTTACAGCAGACTGAGTATTATGAAGCCTAGGGGGGTAAATTTTGAAGGACGGTAGATTTCGGAAGTAATTTCTTTATCTCTGTTTACAAAATTAAAAAAAAAAATTAAAACATTTAACAGAAATTCAAATATTTAACAAAGTTGAATTATAGTGCTAAATGCTATATATTGTACTTCAACGCTCCACAAGGAAAATTGTTAAACAGTTTATGAATATACTTTGATCATCATGTAGAATATCGCAACAGCGAATCGATATTATAATTGAAAACCTTACTAATTTTTTCATATTTTCGTCTCTTAAATATACTTGTTTTTTTTTTTTTAAAGAATCAATTTATAGCACTGTATATAAACTACTGAATTCGACTAACTTACATCATATATGTACATACATATGTACATATACTTTTGTTACATCATAAACATGTCACGTATGTTCACGACCCTACAGTTTTTGTTATATGTATGGGCAACTAACTTTTAAATCTCAGCGTCGTAATTTCACGTCATTAATTGAACTGTGCTATTTAGACTATTTTTGATTTCTTGTGAGGAATCAAGATAAATCCTGGGTTCCACATATATGTTGTGTAACGTGTGTGATGCTATATTTACTATACCAATGATTTGGACCGAACCAAAGGATCATGTAAGTGATTGTTGTTTTTGTTTGACTCAAGCAAAAGGCATTACAACCAAATCCAAACATACTACGCCGTATGCAAACTTGTCTTCGACCAACAGACCCGTCTTACATTACCTGTGCCAAAGCTTCCTATAGATGGTAGTGAATTTGTATGTACATATATTTGAAGAGAAATTCACCAAACTCAGCGAAGCCAAAATTAAAGAGGGAATACTTGTAGGCCCACAAATACGGCAACTGGTGAAAGATAAGAGCTTTGAAAAAAATCTGAATGATCAGGAAAAACTCGCCTAGAAATATTTTTTGAACGTTGTCCAAAATTTTTTTTGAAACCATAAATCGGAAAATTGCAAAGACTTAATAAATGAACTTATAATGTCATATAAAGCTGTGGGGTGTAATATGTCCTTAAAAATACATATGCAGGACTCTTATCTGGATTTCTTTCCGGCAAATTTTGGTGCTCTGAGTGACGAACAAGGCGAGAGGTTGCTAATAATAAACTTGTTGCTTTTCAACTGTAGTAAAAATATTCGATATTCTTGAAGAAAAGGAAGGGTATGCAATAAATGCAGCTAATGGTGCAGCTAAGGTTTTCAACTCCCCTCGATTGAATTGAGCTTGAAGCAATTTAACATCAGATTAACCCAACTCTGTTTTGGTATTACGTGTTGCCAACTTAATAAATGAGGATTTGACAGATAATTAAACAGCGAAAAATCAAAGTAACTCATTTCAGTTATTGCTCTCAAAAAGGTGAATAATTATTAAAATGGACCTTCGTTTTAATTTATATTCCGATGACAAAAGTGTTAGCCAAAATTACTGCGAATAAGAAAAAGCCGGAGTTTTATTGACAATTAAAAGGCTTTTAAATATTGTATATAATCATTTTTTTTTACTAAATAAGATGAAGGAACTTTACTCCGTTTTATTGCTGCCGGTAGTTATTAAGAATTTTAAATGATTTTAACGTTGAATTGAAGCAACCTTCGATATCTATGGTTGTTACAAAAAACCATTTTAAAATTCCTAAGAGTAGTAGATTGTATCGAGTATTTATGTTCGAAAGTCCCTTAATTTAATTTTTACTATTTCCAAATTGCAGCTTGCCTCGTCCAGATAAAACGATTTTTTTTTATAATTACCGATAATACCGAACTTCAACCAAATTGCTGCAATTGGGTTGAAACTCGTAACAGGGACCCAAATTTAATTTGCCTCTAAGGTTTATTTGTATGTCCCCATTTTTCTAAATATGAAGTGAAATAAAAGTCAATGTTTTAATGATAAAATTTTTTACTCACATTTCTCACGTTTCATGCCCAAAACTTTCGAGAAAATTGAAAGGCATGAGCCGATTGATAAGCCAACATCCTCTGCAACTTCTCTAATAGTGATTCGACGATTTTCAGAACTCTTTATTTCACTGTTTCGATGTTTTCTTCGAATGTTGACGTTGTCGCACCTCCAGGATACTCATCGTCATCAACATCTTCTCCGTCTTCTGTAAAGCGCTTGTACCACTTACAAACACTTCTTTGAGACAAAGTGCCACAGTCAACATCTCAAGTGCCTTGGAGCACTTTATTCCCTTTTTAACGCAAAATTTAATACATATTCTTTGCAGCACACAAAAACGTGAGTAAGCTTTTCTGTTGTCAAAAACAAACTACTAATCGAAAGTAACAAACTACCTAATGCAAGCACATGATAAACATATGTGTACAATTATAACAAAAACAAAATACCGATAATCGAATGTTCACAGCCCGCGAAAAATCAAAATTCACCTTTTCCTTTAAAACTGTTTTCCTACGTCTGTTCAAGAGTCTTCCATTTAGAGGGAAAAATTAAAAGTTTGGAAATCTAAATAAAGGAAATTATTGTATGATTTTGGAATTATTAGCAGAATTCGATACTTTTCGAGCTCTTCATATTGAAATATTTGGCAAATACCATTTGCGATTAGAGCATTTGCTTGATGGGTAATAAAGTCTTGAAAAAGATTTGAGACGAGATAAAACTTGAAAAATATATTTTCCGAATCATTGGATTTAACACCAGATTTTTTTATGTTTTCGAGTCAGGGGAACCACGTAAGACTTCTCAAGTTTTTGCTGTCAGTAGGACATAAAGCTAAGGAAATGTTTTCTGCCATTACTCCAAATCTTGAAGCTTATTAAAGACTACCGTTAGCCTGCAGGCGGCAAATCTATAAATACGCTGCTGAATATATATACTATAACTTACAATCAGTGAATTTTTACTATTTTTAATTACACATTGAAAAGCATTGACATTTAGATAGAAAGATAGAAATAAATTGAGTCTTACACCGCGACCTATCACAACGAATCACATAGTCAAAGCACAATGATAAATTCCTGTATCCTGCTAGGTGCTATTGAGACGATGTGCTCCCTATTAGGATACATAGATCCAAAGCCCATTATACTGTTTCTACAGACTGGCGTGCAGTGTATCATCAGGTGTTAAGGAGTTCCTGGCTCCATGTTGCAAAACCGGCAGTTTGCGCAAATGGTTATACCCATATTAGGATAGCAGGATCCCGGTCCTATCATCGTGAGAGCAGCTGCAGAACGCGCAAGCTCGTCAGCTAATTCATTCGCGGCTACACCCTTGTGACCTGGCGCCCAGATGAGGTGCACTTGGTTGCGAACTTTCATTGCGATAGTTGCGTTGGAGATTTATCTCTACTCACTGATTTATAGCAAAGACTTCTGCTTGAAAGTAGTTCCTTCCAACGTTTTCGAGCCGGCAGTGTGGAGTTACTTCATTTCGTCTTACTGCCGAGGGTAACTTTAAACTGTTGTGTTGTGTTTCATCACATAACTACTTCATTTGCTGGTACGAGATTACCTTCCCTTTGCCATACCTTTCTGCTGTCATTTGAAGCATCGTATGTTTAGCTGTTTGATTGATTACTAGGAGGAGCGGTGTGAGTTCCAGCATGACTAACCTAAAGACAAAGGGTAAGCCGTTTAATGTGCTAAACCTTTGCATTCAAAATGTATTCAACGACTTAACTGAACCACTTAGCCTAGCTGCTCCTTCATCCTACGTGGTTCATGCATATTTTCTTACTCATTTTATAGTTGGTTCAATCGATTTTTTTTCAAAAGACAGGTTTCTTTTATTTTTTACTTACATATATCTACTGATTCCTTTAAAATAGTGCTGATATGTACATACATACGCAAGCCGGAAAGTTCTTATCGTTTCCATGAGAGGGCGCTACTAGAATTTAATCAATGTTTTTTTTGTTTTGGTATTTTGGAAAAAATTGATAAATGGATAAAACTAGTTTCCTGTATTATTGAAACACTTTGATAAAAAAAAAATTAGTTCCTGTCAAGAGTATTATCCGAGCTCTGCGCTAAGCGCGGTAAATATTATACGTACATACTTGTATGAGAGAAAAAGACGGTGAATTCAATGTGATAGCTTGGAAGCATGTTCGTAAGTTGCGGTAGAACTATATCTTCTGCTTTAATGCGCTTATTCGCTTGGGGGAAATTAGGATAATGGGAGACAGATTTTTTTTGAGATTTGGACTATTCGTCCGCCCTTTCCCGTAATTTCAAAATTGGCTTGTTTTGTTGGCAGTTGTAGCCTATTTTGTGCCCTAGATGGTATGAATGATCGTTGCCGTCCTTTGTTTATTAGGAAGTTTGAAGAGTTCTCCTCTTTGTTCGATTGATATAACTATTGTCGGTAGTGTATTTGATTGGTGTCTTTTATGACAATATAAGCAATTGAATTTGCTTTTACAATCTTTATGAGTATGCGCATGTGCCAAACAACAAGTAAACGATTGTGTTTTGTAAAAGCTTCTGATTAATTTGTTTTTGCTACTAGCTTGGGGTCTATTGAAACTTCTTTTCAGATTATGGTGAACAATTTTTGTTTTAATATTGTAGGTTTTTTGTATACCCGTTAAGCGATTTCGTACTAAGTAGTTAGAAAATCTTTCGTTTGTTGCCACATTGGGCCATTTTTTCAAAATGGGAGCGATTGCTTCCACAAAAATAACGATATTTCTTGTAATGCTGCGGAATCGAATATTTTGTGTCGATAGAACCGACAAACAATTTGAAACAGTGGATAGTAGTTTAACAAATTCTTCAATTGTTTCTTTTTGAATTTTAGGAAAGTTTATTAGTGTCGTCGTATGCAGTTGGCTAAATGAGTTAAGCTTCCCGCCCCGAAAAACTCAACTACACCGCACAAGACAACACTGACACACACCCCACACCTGGAAACCGCAGAACACCCATACACCACACATCACATACAAATGCACTACACTACTGGAAGCAGCCGCATACACACACACACAGTAGGATCTCTACATAGCTCAACATACAAAACATCTGTCTTCGAAGCGGACAGCCCCTTCTCTCAGCGACTTTCGAGCAACAAGCAACGGACTTTCTTTCGGCGCGCGAGTCACTTCGTTTTCTTACATCGGAGTGTGTGCGTTAAAATAATCTTTTTAGAATTATTCAAAAATAAATAAATTGTGTGAACTTTTTGAAAAAACAAAAACCATTTATTCCGGATATTAATTTAATCTCAGTGGTGAAAGTGTCAAGTAAGTGCTGGTGTTAACATTGGTCCTTCGACCCATTCAGAATGACACTATTGTGAAAATCAAAAAAAATTTATAATAAAAATAAAGGTGAACAAAAAACCTTAAAAAATTTTTTATACAAAAAAATAAGTGACAAATAAATACAAAACAAACATGAAAAGTGCTCAAAAGTGAAAGAAATAAAAAACAGAAAACCATACTTGTGTGCTGGCGAGAAGCCTAACAACAAAGGGTACTGCAAAAAAAAAGCAGAAGACAAAAAGTGCAGTGATCACAACAACAAAAAAATGTATATATACATATGTTTTTGATGCATAATTAAAGTGTAGTGACTAAAAGAAGCAATAATTATACAAAAACAAAACGGGCGCGGAAAAACAACAAATACAATCAAATGAAAACTGGCGCGAATAAAAAACCATATATATATATATACATATTATATTAACACATAAAACGAGCGCGAAATTAATACAACAAAAAACACCCAAAAACACCTAGGAACATCCCAGGAAAGGATTTGGATGCGTCTACAGGAAGTCCACAAACAATATATGCAAGCTATAGTCCCCAAAATCCCTTGACGGATATTCAAGTGAGTTGTATCGATTCCGTTTTGTATTTCACTACTGCAGGGTATATGTATATTTATTACGGTTTACATTTAATTTCAAGCCGGTTTGAATAACAAAAACAAACCAGGTTGCCAAACGGTTTAATTTTTTCGGTAACAACCGAAATACCGCAAGTACATATTACATATATATATATAATATATACATATTTGTTTTGCCTATGAAAGCTTAAACATAAAATATTTCAAATACTAAAAACAAATATATGATATATGATATATACTCTACTTGCACAAATATCCGGAAATACCCCTTATGCTTGATCAAGTTATAAGCAGGATTGCCTAAAACAAGTAAGCAAAGGCAAATAAAAAAATAAAACATACATATACCCATAGCAACATATAACGAATAAAAGAGATATAAAGGACAATATTCTCAAAATACAAAAATATAAAAGAATTTTTTACCTATAAGTGTATGCCAAATCTCTCATTATATAATACATTGTACATATTTACATATTTTGCACATAACATATACCTATATAGTTAGATAATAATAATAATAATAGACATAATATGAGCGCATGCAAATACATATATACATATTCTTAACATAATTTACCAACAAAAAAAAAAAATAAGAGAGAGGAAGGTAAAGAAAATCAAAAGTTTTAAACATATACAAGTACAACATAAGTACTTACTCTCATACATACGTACATATTTACTTGCACTTTATATACCGAGAGTGCACATTTACGAATCGTAGTGCACATACGATTATTCTGTTGCAAATTACGTTTATGCGCTCTTTCTCTACAGATAATAAACGTCCGCTCGCTGACTTATACAAATACAGGACATATTATTATACTCTACTAGGGTACCACTCCAAGTTAAAGAATTTCTAAAAGCGCATTCAAAATAAAAAAATAAAAAACCATCAACAACGGTTCGATAAAGAAAAAACGAATTCTTAAACAATATATGTAGGTATATACTTATAAATAAAAAAAATTGTGAACAATATTATACATTTATATACAATTTAATGTAATATATTCAAAGTCCAAATTGGTACATATTCGGCAATACCCCTTGTTGTTTGGCAAACCAAAAAAACAAGTAGGATTGCATACATATCTATAAAGTGCATTGATCTCTTATACGAGCTCTCATTGACACATACTAATTCGCTTTTAGGTTTACCCTATAACGCATACGAACACAAAAAGATATAACAAATTAAATATTACAATTTTTTAATAATTATTGAAATAAACAATACAATCGAGACAAATAATAAATAAATACCGCAACAACGAAACACGCTATCTTATTTAATCCGATTTAAAAAACCGAATTACTAATTCTCTTATTTATAAAAAAGAGATTACGCGTTACAATTACGAATTTCGCTTAAATTTAATCAGTTTACACTGAGAGAAATCATTTCATTAATTGAACTTTTTAAAATGAACGCAGATTCTAAAGATTCTAAATCTACACAACTATTAAAAGTACCAAAAATGATTTTGGTAGATAAAAAAATGGTCAGAACGAAAACCGTTCAACACGACCTAAATAGAAGCTCCCAAGCCAGTAGCAACAACAATTTAAAGCTTCTTCAGAAATCAAACGTTCACATCCGAACAGTACAAACAAACGTCATGCGAATTATGTAAAGGGGCGCATAAGCTCAAATCATGCGAGAGAATGAATATTATCGACGGAAACAATTTTATAAAAACAAAAAGACTTTGTACAAACTGCTTGTCACATGCGCATACACTTAAAGAGTGCGAAAGCAAATTTAATTGCGTTTATTGTCGTAAACGACTGCTCAAAGGGATTAAAAACTCAAACGCACAGGGAAAACCAAAGTGGGGTACTACTACCTACAGCAGTCGTCTCCATCGAACACCGAGGAGAACTGTTTAAACTTAGGGCTTTAAAAACCAAGGATCACAACGATCTTTCATAGCGTCAAGGGCACAAAATAGGCTACAACTGCCAACAGAACAAGCCAACTTTGAAATTACAGGAATGGGCGGAAGAGTAGTTCAAAACTCTAATAAAATCTGCCCCATTACCCGCCAAGCGGATAGGAGAATTAAAGCAGAAGCTATAGTCTTACCGCAGCTAACAAATATGCTTCCAAGCTATCATGTAAATAGCAAACATTGGGAAAAGGTTTCATACCTCAAATTAGCAGATCCCAACTGCAACACCCCCGCTCAAATAGACATTCTATTAGGCAGCGATCTCATACCTCAGATAATACTCGAGGGTTTTGGGTGTTTTCAAACACACTATTGGCACAAAATACCATTTTCGGTTACTACGGTTACACTATAACAACTCAAGTTGAGGAAATCTCAAACGAATACCTCAATTCACAATTGAAAAAATTTTGGGAGTTAGAAGAACTTCCCCTCATTTCAATTACAAACCCAGAAGATCAGTATTTTGAAGACTTTTACAAAGCCACACCTACTAGATCAGATAATGGTCGGTATATCGTACGACTACCACTAAAACAACAATTTCCCAACACAATCGCCTTATGTCATTCTCACACCTCTGCAATACAGCAGTTTCAAAGTATGGAAAAAAAACCTACTTAAAAAAGGCGAACTCAAACCAATATATGATGGTGTATTGGAAGAATACCTCCATTAAGACCACATGGAGGAAGTAAGCCCATGTGAAAAAATTATCAACGGCAAATATTACTCTTTTTACTTGCCGCATCATGCAGTAGTAAAGCTAGACAAAAAAACCACTACAGTAAGAGTTGTCTTTAATGCATCAAGATCCACCAGTTTGGGGAATTCCCTAAATGATATCCTATTTACGGGAACCACGCTCCAACCAGATTTAATGCTACTCATTTTAAATTGGCGTATATTTAAATACGTATTTAACGGCGACGTCGAAAAAATGTATAGACAAATAGTCGTACATAAAGACGATCAGGATTTTCAGCGAATTATTTTCCGAAAATCCCCCAATAGTCCCCTACGCGACTATAAATTAAAAACAGTTACCTTTGGCGTCAACTGTGCTCCATATCTAGCCATTCGAACACTGCACGAATTAGCAGAAAACACCAAGTCAGAATTTCTTCTGGCAACCCAGGTGTTAAAAACACAAACGTATGTAGACGAGATCTTGTCTGGAAGTCACAGTCTTCCACAAGCATATGAGTCACTATCACCACTAGCCCTCAATACCGCAGGGTTTCCGTTGAAAAAGATAACGGCGAATCACGCTAACATTCTAAAAAATATACCAAATGAAAATTTGTTATATACTAATTTCCTAAAATTCGAATAAGAGCACAAAGTCGAACTGCACGGCTTCTGTGATGTTTCTGAAAAGACATATTGCGCAACTAAATATACTTGTATATGTTCGCACACAAAGCGACACTGCGACCACAATCCACTTACTAGTAGCAAAAGCAAAAGTGGCTCCCTTAAAAACAATAAGACTACCACGACTTGAACTATGCGGAGCGCTATTACTAGCCAAACTCGTGTCCATCGTACAAACGCATTTAAACATGACACAATATAAATTATATCTATGGGCCGACTCCGAAATTGTACTAGCCTGGTTAGAAAAACCATCACATGCATGGAAGACGTATATTTCCAATCGAACGTCTCAAATACTTGACCTAGTAGGATCAGCCACTTGGCGACATTTAGACAGTGCTGACAATCCTGCTGATCTAGGTACAAGAGGGTGCAAACCCCTGCACCTTGTCACCACCACCCTCTGGTGGAATGGCCCCCGATGGTTAACAGAACCGCCTGATTCTTGGCAATATAATTGCCCCAGAAAGTCGAAATATCGACTCCTTTCACACGACATTGTAAGATAATGATATTTTTCTCGTACCCTCGAGCACTCAGGGTAATCGCTTACATGCTCAAGTTTATAGAGCGACTCAAAATTAAACTTAAGGGAGTAACCTCATTACATTCTCAATGCGATACAGTGACGCACCTAGACTTACAAAAAGCAAAGGTCGCTCTTATCGCATCTACGCAAGCGCGTTACTTCAGCAGAGAAATACCATTACTAAGAGATTCGAAGCCGATTGATAAAAGGAGCTCGCTCTTAGTACTAAATCCCTTCAAAGACACAAAAGGTCTACTTCGTGGGAATGGACAAAAGCAGTGCACCTCGAGCTATGTACGGATCTGATGAAGGAGGCTTTTCTCGCGGCATTTACTCGCTTCGTCGGCGACGCGGTTTTCCGTCAAACCTCATGAGCGACAATGGCAAAACATTTATAGGAGCTCAAAAAACTGGAAAAGCTCGTTAAACTATGCTTCCTGCCAATCTCAAATAATAGCGAAAACGCAAGTAGTAAACTATCTGTTCAATAATACCTACAAGCAAAAATCGAAATATCCGTCTAATAACCGAAAACAGAAATAAAAAACCGCAAATATAATATGACATACCAGAATCATATATATTAATTAAATAATGGGTAGACTAATACGATCACCAAACCAAATAAAGTTGGTTACATATAGAAAGATATCCATACTCTATGCCATTGAGTCGTAACTAAACTCGCCTTTTTCTCCATACAGGTATTTATATATGGATACAGAAATGCATTCAACCCCAACGCCAATAATGCGATCGGCCATCAGTGTGCCTCGCCCTAGGGTTATTCCAACAGCGGCGCCGGTATTCGAGCATCCGCAGCCGTTCCGTCTCCATCACGACATCGCGACATCCTTTGTCGCTGTCCACACAAATTGCAGCACTGTGGACTCTTCAAGGGCATGTCGCCGACACAACGCCAGCAGGTTGTCCAGGCGCATGGGCATTGCCACAATTGTCTGGCACCTACACATACGACGCAGGAATGCGACTCCGGGGCTTTGTGTCAAATGTGTGGCAGGCAGCATCACACGCTGCTTCACCGCACTCCGAGACGAGAGGTCAATCGGCAGCCTGTCCCACGCATCGGCGGCACAAACCGACTGCAGCAAACCATCCGTGTGGCACGTCGCCGAAGAACGGCACCCCGTCCTGAGTCCTCTCCATGGAGTCAAAAAAACATAGCACCGACTAGGCCGTATTATCGTCGCACGTCCGGACTCAGCAACGTTGCAACAGCTACAGGGACCGCTAGGCTGAACATTCGCCAAGGGGGCCCGGGATGGCTAAATGAGTTAAGCTTCCCGTCCCGAAAAACTCGACTACACCGCACAACACAAAACTCACAAGACAACACTGACACACACCCCACACCTGGAAACCGCAGAACACCCATACACCACACATCACATACAAATGCACTACGACTTTCGAGCAACAAGCAACGGACTTTTTTTTGCGCGCGAGTCACTTCGTTTTCTTTCATCGATTTTTTATATAAATTTACACCGTCTCCACTGGTATGCGACCAGGGAGTGAGTGCGTTGAGCAAATCTTTTTTATAATTATTCAAAAATAAATAAATTATGTGAACTTTTTGAAAAAAAACCATTTATTCTGGATATTAATTTAATCTCAGTGGTGAAAGTGTCAAGTAAGTGCTGGTGTAAACAATAGTATCGACCAATATTCTTTCATTTTCAAATCGTGCTTTTAGAGCTTCTCAAGCCAAATTTAAATTGTCGTCATTAAGTGCGAACTGTTTGACTATGACCTTGTGATTATTTAGGATGGTTAATGTAAACAGCTGTAAACATGTTCCAGAAGGCGGCCATTCTTCACAACCTCCATGAAATATTTCTGTGTCAAATGCGGGCACCTGGAGATGGATGCCTGAATTGCCTCTGGACTTTGTATTTGTGGCAGCTCTACTCTCGGATGTGGAGTAGGTGCAATTGAATTTATTGCTTTAGTTGATCGGTGATGATAGCTTCCGATGATTTAAATTTTGTAGTAGATCCAATTCGGCAGAATCTACTATGGAGTGGATATTAGGGAGGGGCATCTGCAGTTTAATATTTTTTTTTAGTGGGCGTGGTCTTGCCCCCTAATAGGTTCAATGTGCACATCTTCTAAAACCGCCCATTCCCCATATAACGGTACTGTTAAAAACTACTAAAAGCGCGATAAATCAAGCACTAAACACGCCAGAGACATTAAATTTTATCTCTGGGATGGTATGAGATGGCTTTATAGGAACACAATTTTAAATTCCATCTGACTCTTTCACTTTCCAGTATGCAAATCAAGCACTAATAAATGTATCGCAATAAAATTTTGCACGAATATTGCTTTTAAGTTGGGCGACCTTATTACCAAAAATTGTCTAAATCGGATTAAAGCTATTCAACCCCCCATATATTGAATGTGTAGACCCCAGTGCCTATAGTTGACTTTTTACAGAAAATATCGGTCATTGTGTAAGATATATATATGAAATTAAAATGAATAAATGAAACTGTCGATAATAGTATGTTTTTGTGTCAAAAATGGGTTGAATTTCCCGGGCTTTGATCCTTGCAAGTTGTGAGAGTATAAAATGTTCAGTTACACCCTAACACCCTTACTTGTTCTGTTTTATTTGCTCTCTTGTTTTTATATTTTAGTTATATTTGATTTCGCCTTTGCTTACTTAATTTAAGCAACCCTGCTCATTGATTTATTAAGGATAAAGGATATTGCTAGAAAATTATGTAAATACTTGAATTTTAGTTTTCTTAGAGGGTTAAGCGTGTTTTCAATACACGAAGGTAGGCATATATGTATAGGAGTAGGCTTTCAAAATGTTGTTATTTTTTTGTGATATATATATACATATAATATACCAAATACCTGATTAAACTCCTCTTAATAATGCGGTATTTCGATTTTTATACCCTGAACAGGATATACAAGTATTAAGTTTGCCACGAAGTTTGTAACATTCAAAAGGAAACGTCGGAGACCCTATAAAGATATACATACATAAATGATCAACCCTATGAGCTGAGCCATGTCCGTCTGTCTGTATTTATGTAAACTAGTCCCTCAGTTTTTAAGCTATCGATCTGAAACTTTGCTAATTGTCCTTTTCTCACTAAGAAGCTGCTCATTTGTCGGAACGGCCGATATCGGACCACTATAGCATATAGCTGCCATACAAACTGAACAATCGGAATCAAATGTTTGTATGTAAAACCATTTCATTTGACAAGGTACCTACACGAAATTTGGCATGGATTATTATTTAAGACAATAATGCAATCTCCGAAGATATTGTATAGATCATATGATTATATCATATAGCTGTCATACAAATTTAACGATCGGAATCAAGTTCTTGTAAGGAGCTTTTGTATTTGTAAAAGGTATTATAGCTTTGGTGTAACCGAAGTCAACGTTTTTTCTTGTTCACATTAATTTTGAGGTTAACGAATGTATATGCCACTTTGTCGTAAATCCTTCTCTTTCACCTGGTATTTTTGTTTTAAATATCTGCGAACGTTTGCGTACCATATATATATATATAAATGATCAGGATGAAGAGACGTGTTGAAATCTGGATGTCTGTCCGTCCGTCTGTGTAAGCGATAACTTGAGTAAAAATCAAGATATCTTGATGAATCTTATTACACATGTTTCGTGGCGCCGTAAGATGGTTGGTATTACAGATGGGCGTAACTGGACCATTGTCACGCACACATCTTACGGCGCCCAGAAACATTTGTACTAAGTTTCATCGAGATATCTTAATTTTTATTCAAGTTACAGCTTGCTCAGACGGATAGATTTCAACTCGTTTTTTCATCCTTATCATTTATATATATAACCCTATATGTAACTCGATTAGTTTTGGGTGATTCAAACAACCGTTAGGTGAACAAAACTATTATACTCTGTAGCAACATTTTGCAAGAGCCTGAAAATTGAGACACAAAACCAATGTCAATAATAATAAAAAGTAAGTATGCACTTATTTCGGCTGTAACCGAATATTTCATAGTCTAGTAATTTACGATGAAATTTGGGTGCATGAGGGCTAGGAGAGCTATTCACACGATTTTATCTTTTTTTGACACAAGGGTACATTATTACGAGAAAAAGACTCTTTGAGAATTTCAATAATATGTATATCTCCCAGACTGATGATATTTTCGGTATAGAGTCAGCATAGGCACTGGGATCCACGTTTTCTAAATCTGGGGATTGAAGAGATGGCATCCTTAGAGGTACTATTTATACAAAGTTCTATCCCGATATCAGTGGCGTAGCTACCTTAAGTGGCACCCGGTGCGGAACTCCAAGGAAAGTAAAAAACCATAAATGTTATATAGGAACATGGATCACTTCTTATTTATAATATTGAAGAAATAACAAAACACAATAATAACTCAGTCAAAAAAAGAATTGTTATGCAATTAAAATTTCTTTTTTCTAGCTATGGAAGCTGCAATAACTTCATCGAAATTTATATTTTGTATTGCCTCGTTTTCTATGGCTAATATACCAAGATTGTTAAGCCGCGATTGGGTCATTGTTACCTGCAAATAGTTTTTTATTAATTTTAATTTACTGAAACTCCTCTGTAATGAAGCTACGGACACGCAAACCGTCATGAACAATTTCAGTGCAATTATAAAATTTGGAAGAGATTCTGTAAAATCCTATTCTACAATAAATTTTAAAAAATTTAGAGACACCCAATCAGTAACCGTATACATAGAGCTGAGCTAGTGCTTGTGGAGGAATCCCCGAAAAATCAATTTTTGTGCTAGTGATTCATTTTTGAGAGACCGGGTGGGTGTCACCCTAAAAAAGGTGACACTCGGTGCGAATCGCCATCGCCGCCCCCCTTTGCTACGCAACTGACCGATATATTAATTGGTGCTTGATTCCCGTACTTTAAAGCGAAAGAATCAGATTGAACAAAATTGTGATTCGTCCATTTTCACAATGTAACATAAGAAACGCAAGATAATGTTATACACTCATTTTAGTTAAAATTACTAGAATAGATCTTGAAGCAAAATGTAGTAATGAAACTAAGTGAGTCTACTACTTATAATATACATACCAAATATTATATAATATAATTGTAATACATTCGAATAATTAATTTTTAATTCTTACGCAGCATTTTTCATAATACCGCTTTGTCAACACCTGATAGTATTTCCCCGGCGTCGATCCTTGCGAGAGTATAAAATATTCGATTACACCCGAACTTAGCCCTTCCTTATTTGTTTATTAATATGAATTGACGTAGCATAAGTTCAACTGTTTATTTTAAGTCGTGAGTTAAATTTTGTAGTTTAATTTGGCCACATGTTTAATGTTTCAATCTAAAGCCTCTATGAGATTAATGTATTCAGTTAGGAGATTTTTCGCTAGAATAAAGTCTACCATTTTGATGACGAAAATTCCTTGTCAAAAAGCTTACATTCTTGAAGAATAATTTAAAGAAAAGTGGCATTACTAGTAAATGAAGTCATCAATGAATTTCTGTTCTATTCATATTTCACTTTGCTTTTCTTGATATGTCAATAATGCTCTAAATAGCTATTGACTCTAAAATAACGTTTCTTCGTCTCTTGCAGGTAATGCAACTAGCGGACCTAGAAGTAATTGGCACTCCGAAAAACAGGTAAACAATGTGGTGTTTAAAGAAGCAGCAAACCGAAGGCACATGTAAATCAAAATAAACTAACTCTGCATGCTCATAGTCCAATCACAAATGAGTTAAAAGCAAGATTACAAAAGATTCTTAACAATTCTTTTAATTCTTCGTATTCATGTCATGGGCTGCAAGCTAAATTTTCATAAATCATTCAAACTCTCTGAAAAGTTGCATTATGTGTTTCTCTATAAATTCTCTATAATTTTTAAAGTTTGTCCGAACTACTTCACAAATTGGTCCCGACCGTGAATAAAGTATGTATGTATGAGTATATGGGTGAAAGAGGAGTGTAATGTGGTGATCTAATTGTATTTGATGCTTAGGGCAACATTTTTTGTATTTTGTTAGTGCGATATCAAAAAGAACTTTGTAGGATGGCACCTTTTAAACTGAAATTCCGAATGGGCAGCTCGCGCAGCACATCTCAAGAGCACGATTCAGATCCACAGGTAAACGAAGCGCTACTCAACCATCATCAGCATCATTCGACAGCCATAGGTGCCAGTAGCTCCACCATCGATTCAACCGACTGCACTAGTCTCGGTTCCATGGGTACCAACGAGCGAAAATCTTTACTGCCCAACAAAAGCAACAATATGCGACTAGGTAAGGATTCCACCAAATTTCGACAATACAATTTTTTGAATTCAGCTTCTTGCCCTTTCTTGACGTAGACAAATTACTTGTGTAATTGAGAGTTCATTAGTTTAATACAGCTTTTATTTTATTATTTATATTTTGCCTTGAATTTACGTACCAATATACATATAAGTTGGATGCGCAAATCGTTATGTACTTTGAGTCTACTATAAATGAAATCATGGGCATACGAGAGCATTTAAAGGCACATTTAGCATATCATTGATTCACCGCTGCATATGGTATTTCACCATTTTTCCAATATTACTTGTTTCGCCCAACTTTCTCAACATACATTGTATCCACGAGCTTCATTAACCTTTAAGAAGATCATGAGAAAACAAATGCATATTAAGGATTAGAACACATTTGGTTTTTAAGTTGAAAATTCGTTTTTTATGTAATAAACATAATACAAACCCAAAAAAAAATAATATTTCCAATTTATGTATATATAATGTATGTAATATATCCCCTACAATATTTATTTAATCAAAGAGCTAAACCTAAGATCCTCTGAATACCGTACTTAATGGCATTATAAAATATTATATGTACATATATATTTACATAAAAATATATATATTATAAAACAAAAATCCAATTTCTGTCATAAAGCATCATTTAGGTTCTCCATAATAGCAATTTCACTTTCCCTTTTACCACGCAAACAAGTGTCTAGAAATTTTTAAATCAGTTCACATTTTTTGTAGTTCTCTAAAAATGAAGCGTCTTCTTTAATGATTGACTGCCTCTATTGTCGGTGAATTTTACGAGTAGTATTTTGAATCAATAAATTATTGTGAGCATGGTAAAGAAGTTATTTATGTATTATATATACTTGTACAAGTATTGTTATGAATGTGACGCATGTATATTTGTTTTTGTTGTTGCACACAGAAGTAGACTTGTCTAGAACATTTGCTATACAATATGAATATATATTTACATTTTTGTTCTAGGATACATCGATCACAGGTTCACAACAAGTAATGGCGAACCGACAACAGAATCAAGTGCTATTCCTACAACTCCTCCATCCACCTACAATTATATGCTAGAAGAGGTAGATAAAACTCATTTGTTTTTATACTCTCGCTACTTGTTGCTACAGAGTAGAATAGTTTGTTCACCCAACTGTTGTTTGTATCACCTAAAACTAATCGAGTTAGATATAGAGTTATATATATATGAATGATCAGGATGAAGAGACGAGTTGAAATCCGGGTGACTGTCTGTCCGTAGGTCCATCCGTGCAAACTGTAACTTGAGTAAAAATTGAGATATCTTTATGAAACTTGCTACACATGTTTCTTGGTACCGTAAGACGGTTGGTATTGCAGATGGGCGTAATCGGACCACTGCCACGCCCACAAAACGCCATTAATCAAAAACAAATAAATTGCCATAACTAAGCTCCGAAGAAGATAAGTGCTCCCGCCCCTAATAGGTTTAATGTGCATATCTACTAAACTGCTAAAGCTATAATAACAAAATTCACTGGAAGCAAATGTTTTTAGCACCTCTACCTACAGTGTGAAAATGGGTGAAATTGGGGGACAACCCCGCCCACTCCCCATATAACGGCACTGTTAAAAACTACTAAAAGCGCGATAAATCAAGCACTAAACAAGCCAGAGACATTAAATTTTATCTCTGAGATGATTTTATAGGAACCACGTTCAAATTAAGATAGTGGGCGTCGCGCCGCCCACTTTTAGGTGAAAACCCATATCTTGGGATCTGCTTAACCGATTTCAACAAAATTCGGTACATAATATTCTTCTCATATTTTTATGCTATAGTACGAAAATGGGCGAAATCGGATTACAACCACTGATTATATCGGCGTAAAACCTTGCGTGAATAATACGTTTAAAGTATGCCACCTTGTGACCAAAAATTATCTAAATTGAACCAAAACTGTTAAAGCCCCTAGGTATTGAATATGTGGACCCCGGTGCCTATAGTTGACTTTTTACCAATAATATCGGCCAACAAGAACAAGGCGGCAAGATCCACAAAGAAATCTAAAACGAGTATACCATTTGACTTTGCGTGAGTATAAAATGTTCGGTTACATCCGAACTTAGCCCTTCCTTATTTGTTCTATAATGAACTAATTCATAGGTATTATTCAAGTTCGTTCATCCATTTACGAAAAAGATTATATGTTTTATATATTTTCTATAAAACTAAAATATTTTGAACCATTTTTTTAAGCCCCCATTACGGGTTTCAACTCAAATGCATTTTGGTTGAAGTTTTGAAATTCAGTAGTATCGATACCAACTCAATCCGCCAAAAAAAGTTTCCGTTTAAGTGTTTTTAAACTTGATGATGACTAGAATATCAAAAGGTTACCACTGCTGCCAAGCAAATGTAGTTAAACGTTACTGCGTTAATTTAGAAAAAATTTTTAATAGATTTTATATATAAAATCAAACTGTTTTAATCAGCTATTTTGTACAAATTAATTATATTAATCAACCGTTGTTTCGAACATAAAGAGTCAATACTATCTGCTATTCCTAGGAACATAGTTTTTGAGTAAAATTTTGCTTTGAAGCATTTGGTTCCTCTTCAGTTATTTTTGTTTTATCGACTGCCACAAATACGGCGTTCATAATATTTAAAACCTCCTTAAGTACCATAGAGATGGTAGTCTGCGCCAGCCCAAAGTTAAAATTCTTAATTAAAGGAAAATAACTTATGAATATGTAACAAACATTACTTAAAATCCATTTAATTGTCAAGTTAGAAAGTTCCAATGGATTTGAATGATCACGAAAGCTTCAAAGCAGCACATCAGTTTTGGGCTCAACATTTTTGTCATCGTAATATAAATCAAAACTAATGTGCATTTTAATAATTATTCACCTTTTCGTGAACAAGACTTTTTTTCATCGTTTTTCGTTTAAAAATTTTTGGCTGTTTAGTTATCAGTCAAAACTTTTCTTTCTATGTTGGCAACTCCAATGAAACTTCGACCGAAAATAGTTGAAGTTCGTAGTAGTTAACTTTCAGTAAAATGATTTCGAAAAAATTCTAATTTATATGTAAATTATAGAAAAGTCATTTAACAATATCGAAATGTTCATTCAACAGCTGAAACTTATCTCCCATGATGAGAGCACAATCAACGGTCGCCGTGATTCCTTAAATAATCCAAGAAACAACATTATTTTGTCGTCAATAGAACATCTCGCACTAAATGAGGAAGTCACCATTGAATGCACTGACCCCAATTGCCAGGACAATTATTTGTGCAACGAGCAACTTTTACAGCAACGACAACAGAACGCAACCTTAAACGAGTTCAACAATTTCCATGAGTTCATTGAGCAATCACGAATAATAAACCAAAATATTCGTAACAACGAGGTCAAAAATTCCGAAGGGGAAGACGAGTGCGAGGAAGACAATCGTAAAGAGTCGATAGATTCTACAGAACTTTTGATATCTACGAAAATGACAACTTCAACGACATCAGTATCAACCGAACACGAAACCACTAATCTAATGGATAACTTTAGAGGTGACTGTGCACAATGCGAAGCAGATCACTATAATGAGGAATGCAACGATGAATGCAACACTAGTAGCAAAACCAATCGTGGCGGCAATAGCAATGACTTTTTCGATCCACTAATTAATCATGGTGGATACTGTAGTGAAGGTACGTTCTAAATTTATTCCAATATTTTGTAGTATCTGAGATCTCCAATTTACAATGGTCGTCCTTATGTTCCTAGAGTCTTTTACTATTAATGAAAATGTGTACTACTCACTCGGTGTTGACTAATATAGCCACGGTATCAACAAGGAATGTGTTTTAAATAACTTTCCTCTAGATGGCTTCGATGCTTATATGAACCCATTTCTGCAATCTACTATCACGAACAAACGAGGTGCACTACGATGAAACAAATAAACAATCAAATCAGTTTGTAATCATTATATATTTGTCTAGAAAATATGATGCGAAAACATTTGTCCCATTGATTTATGACATTTGATAGGAGTGGTACTATGATAAATATAAGATTTGAGATTCATATCCTATAGTATATAGAATTTTAATAATATATCTAAAATAACATGCTAATTGCACCGAAAAATACTCTTCACAAATAAAGAAGTTCCCATACAAGAACTTGATTTTGATCGTTCAGTTTGTATGGCAGGTATATAATATAGTAGTTGACAATTTGAAGTTCAAGCGACAAATGTCACCAGTTATTGAGTAATGGGTTGAGAGGTTAAATTTAAGAGACTTATCTCTGCAAGCAAATTTTTCTACCGTTTCATTTTTTTTCATTTTCTTTCTTTGGAAGAGAATTCTCACGGATGTTCTTGATTTGAATTGCCGATGAGTGATGGAAAATTCTCTTATTGAGCCAACTGACAACAATTTGTATTCCTGATAATAATTTTTTATTTGCCACTTTGTAGCTTAAACACAATACGGGCGACGACGAATATTCGTCGTACTCGGCGACGCTGTCGGACGGATTTTCGCCGAGTGTTGCCGCCATGTAAAACACAATACGCACGATTTTCGTCGCAGCTAGTGTATATTTAGCGTTCAAAAATATCACAATAAAGGACGAAACCAAACATAAACAATCTTAATATTGCCAACGCAGACATTTTATTACATTTGAGCTTGAACTTCAAATTGTCAACTACTTTTGAAAATCCTTAATACTTTTACTGAAAATAATCTTTCTTTGATATGGTGATGCCGTTTTTGCCGCTGCAGTCGGCAATAAAATTAGAAATAGCTCTATCTCAAAAATCGACATGGTGGGCAAAATTCGTCGCCGTCGCATATTGTGTTAATCTTCATATACAATCGTGTGTTCGAATCACCGACGGCATCACCGAGTACGACGAATATTCGCCGTCGCCCGTATTGTGTTTATGCTATTGTAAATAAATTTAAGAGACTTATCTCCTAACTCCGCTTCTCTAACTGAAAGCAAATTTTTCTCCCGTTACATTTTTTTTCATTTTCTTTCTTTGGGAGAGAATTTTCACGTATGTTCTTGATTTGAATTGCCGATGAGTGATGGACAATTCTCTTATCGAGCCAACTGACAACAATTTTTATTCCTGATAATAATTGGTTTCACTCACAGCAACGCATTATAACCAGGAGAGTGGCGATAATCAGCTGCGGGATGAGTGTCAGGGTAGTCAGTGTGATAGCGATGGCGATGGCGGTTGGAGCCAGCATCAAGAAATGTCGAACAGGCATAATCATGAGCATCAACTACAACAACAACACCAATCGCAAACATACGATTACGAGTATAACAGCAAACAGCCCACACAGGAACGCTCCATCACACCGGAAATAATAAGCAACAAATCGTCAAAGGAAATATACAAAGATTTAGCCAAAGAATGGGGCATCACGTGTAAGATGTCAGACACATGCCGTTGCATGGAGTGTCAGGGTCATTATTTTGATTGTGAATACGACGACGTAAGTGTACAATGTATACTCTGTAGTTCAACCTTGACTGTTCTTCTTCTTCTTTCATTCCTCTTTTCACACATAGAATGAGCACCAGAAAACGGATGGCGGACTGGGTGCGGGTACACCGATGTTTATCAGTGAAGTAATGCACGGTTCCGCTTGCAGCATTCTCTAAACTCGAGACCTTCTACAAGTAGATATATGGATGTTTTGAAAAGAAAGAGAGGTCTTAACATGTTTGACCATATCTAGGCATAGTTCATATGAAAATGTTTATGGATTCGGTGGAAGGCTATATGGAGTGTTGATCTACATTTGCATACTCATACATATGTATAGCCAATTAGTCAAATAATGAACAACGTGAATGCAAACCCTTTTGTTTTAATGCTCTTACAGCAGTATAAGCACACACACACACACACCTACAAGTAAATATATAGAAACGAAAAAGCATTGAATATTCAAAACTAAATGTTGTAGTTGGAACATTGGCCCACTAAGTTTTATTGAAACTATAAGCACTGATAAAAATGTTTATAAAGAGAATATTCTACAAATACGATGACAGTAAAGGTATTAGAGAAAATTTGTACACATGTTTCGTGCAGTTGATTTGAACCTCCTTGAGGAAGAATTTAAGATGAGGAATTTTTGTAGAGGCATTGCTAACTTTAATTTTCTTTTTATAACATCTAAGTGATTAAAAAAATATGTACTATGTATTTTTATTCATATTTACGAGTTTTAGGTATGTAAACATCACTTGCCAGACGCTTTAAGGAAGTTTGAAGGTGAATTAGGTAATCTTTGAACGAAATATAGTAATTTAACTAATTTTACCCATGGAAGTTATGCAATTTGTTTTCACGTTTCAACTTAAAATATGATGCTATTAGATAAATTAAACTTCCCGATTTAGCAGGTTATAACATAAGTGAAGAGTTTCTACATATTTTGACTGATGCAGAAGAAACACTATCCCCCGCTTAATTGACCCCTTGTTAATTGATTTTGCCGCTTATTTAAATCACTTAATCGGTCAAAATATATTGCATACAAAATACGTGTAATTTTTTTTGTTTTCCCGCATAATTGGTTAAAAATATGTTTTTGAAAAAAATATACCTTTAATTTCCCCCGGTTAGTTACATAAAAAACTTTCGTTAAAAAAATAATCTGGCATTGCCGCTCATACATACACATTTCGCACCATTAGTGATAAGCAGCAGTTAACATGGTTGACTTCGAAAACGTACTACTGCAAAGAATCGATACAGTTTGACTACAGTATTTCCCATATACATCCTTGGTATGCAACGTCAAACAACATTGTAAATTGATGCGCTGTATAATTTGACGTTACAGAACACTTTTACTGCAAAGTTTGTTTACCTTCGCAATAAACCGTTTTTTTTTGCGAGCGTATAAAGATAAAAAATGTAAAAATTAAAACCAAATTTAATATAAATAAGTAAAACAACTAATCTTTACAATCTAACTCCTCCATCGTTACATATGAACATGTCAAAAAGCATCCACTTTATTTGTGATGTGCGATTTGCTCTGTCATTGCAATCGACTCCCGGTTTAATGCATTTCAACACATGATGCAATGTCAAATATATTTCGGATGCATTACAGAACATTATACTTTGTTCTTATACCATACATTGCAATTGACGTTTTCGAAGTCAGCCCATCTCTGCAAAGCAATTGAAAACATATGTTTATTGATGAAGATATAATATTTTGGATCGTGCTGATGTTAGGGATGTAAAGAAAGAAGATGATCCTCCAATGCTTTCGTCAGCTCTCGAAGTTTTAAAACAGATATGAGAAAACTTACTTCAAACATATTTTTATAAGCAATAACATGCATTTTTTTGTTCCTTAAGTTAATTTTTTTTATTACAATGATCTATATATATATAAGTACATTGTCTTGTTTTTATTCTTTTGTTTCCGTTCAAAGTTAAAAATATTATTTAAATATCATTAAGTGCACATATGAATTATTTTTAATTGATTAAGTTGTCCAATTAAGCGAGTTTCGTGTAATTGAACGAATTGTTCAATTAAACGAGTATCGGGTAATTGAACCAAAATGTGTGCAAGTTTTGAAGTGCAATTATCCGGGGGATACTGTACATATAAAAGATAGGCGTTTATTCAAATTCAATTTCAAAATACAAGGAAAATTCCTTCTGCAAAAACAAAAGCAAACATTAATCTGGAGTTTAAAACTCAAAGTAATTCAAATAAATAGATTGTAACTACATTATAAGTAACCATAAGAAAGAATTTAGAAGACGTTGCTATTAAAAAGAAGCCTTATTACTGTTTAGTCGGCGAAAAAATTAGTAGTGAACCTCTTCCGTGTAGCATTGCAAACATATATAACGGTATGGCGCCCACACTATACTTACTTAGACTGCTTAAACTTTTTTGTTTGTTCTCATCCACTCTTTGTTAGTTTGAGCATTTGGTGCATACTAAAGGAGTAGAAACTTCTCAAGCCTCCTATTTTACATTTCGCAAGACTTGAACTAAGTTTTTTACGTCAAACGCGCCTAATGCTTGATTATCTTTTTGTCACAAGCACACCAACAACTTTATGTAACAAATCCTTCTGTTGTGATAACGGTTTCTACAAAGAGATGATGGTTTCTCGAAACAACCAAAATATCGGTAACCCTTAAACTGCTGTTTTTAACACACCATAAAAATCAAAAATACCTATTTATATTATTTCTTATGTTAAGCTTATACAATCGTACCTACACACAAATTTTGTTTAATCATTGAAGTTGTTTATGTATCTATCAATCAAATCTTTGTTGTATTTGCGAGTTATTACTGCAATACATAATTGTATAAATAAATATGTTCACAAAAGACTTCGACTCTTTTAAATAAAAAAATATTTACTGTAATGACTTTCGATCTCGAAGTTTACTTCATTTATACCACGGTTTTTAATTTGGGTCCAATATAAATTCATCATTTATGCCGTATGCGAGTTACACTTTGTACAGTAGGCCTAATAGCACAGTGAAGGCGGCGAATACTGAGAAAGCCAGAGAACAAAATTAATTTCAAACAAGTAAGGAGGAGCTGAATTTGGGTGCAACCGAACATAGTATACTCTTGCAACTTACTAGAAACAAAGACCGTAAATCTTTGGTCCTAGCTTCAAGCGCCTCTTCTGACATAGTTCCTATTGATAACGAAACGTTTTCATTCGATGGAGGCATTTAAAACCAGCAAAATACCGCTGCAAAGATTTCTGCTGTTTCCCAAGCTTATATACGAAAAAACCTTTCCGTTTACAGCATAGCCACAAGCCATTGTGTGTAAAATTACGCTAAACCTAATGATTAATTCCACTTGTGTTTTGTCAGTATTACAGCTGTTTGTCTTCCCTGAACCCGTCATTGGAATGACCTCCAAGATACCTTTTTGTTTTCTCAGATCGAGTTGAATTTTTTTCTTTGTTGATTCATCAATGTCTTTACTTTCTCCACGATCTTGTCAGTTTTTTATTGGAAGTCTGTAGGCGATATGAATTACGCATTCGAATTACCGTATCCAATCAATGGAGTATTGATAATCTATATTCATACAAATGTTCCTTTTGTTGCCGGAGCCGAACCAAATTAAATTTTTTCATTATTAAATACTTAGTTGAAGAAGACGGATTATTTTGCCATAATATTGTGGATCCTTTGGCACACCTTCATTTAAATATAAATTTTAAGCAATCGTTGTTAAGGCTCTCGAATTCTGGTGAAAAGCCCTTTATTGTACGTACAGCAATGTGGTCAACAAGACATTGCAAATTCACTTCAGCTCTTTTACTTTAAACCAAAACATCGTAGAACAAATAACTATTGCAATTTCCTTCCTTAACACCATATTGCATCAATTTATAAGAGTTTTTTGTGTAGTCGCCATCTAAAAAAAGAGTCAACGCTTCCTCAGGTGTGTAAGGAGTAGTATTGTGTAATCATCAATAACTTTTAACCTTTTTTGAAGTGAATGCCACATTGAAACAGGTTAGGTTAGGTTATACTGGTAGGCTGTTACGACAAACATAGACCTACTGGTCCTTAGTAATGCCAGCAACATTGAAACTTACGAAGCATAGCTTTTTCCAGCCTTGTAAAACTAAACTAACTCTTCGTGCGGAGTTTAATCAACGACAAATGAAATTTCTTTTGTTTGAATCTTGGTTGGGCACTCTGAAAAAGGTTTGTCTTTACGTTGATCCATGGTAACAATGTCATGATCCTATGGCCCAATTTCCACTTATACACCAATTTACTAACCAATTTTCTCAATTGTTGTTGAATTTGTTGGCATTGCTTTTCATTAAATTTTGATGGATCAATAATATTAATAGATACATGATTTTCAACCGCTAAAAATTTGTTTGTTGACTCGCTGTACCAACTTCCACAGAAGTTTGGGATACATATGCTAAAACACTTTATTCCAAAGAACACATTTTTATATTTAATAATTTCATTAAACCATTAATCCAAAAAAAAAATTATAAATACAGTAAGACCTTGCATAACTCGTTAAATTAGTTCCATCAAAGTAGACCGTAATGCGAAACAGCGCTAAACTAGACTATCTTTAAGGGGAAGAAGGGTAGAAAATTGGTTAGGTATTAAATTTAATAATTATGTTAAAACAAACAACATCAAACAATTATTTCTTATAAATATAAAAACAACATAAAATAATATATTTATAAAAACAAATAAAATTCTAAGTCAGTTAGATCATTCAACATATTTTGTGTTTTCAATTTTCTGCATTTTTTTCAAGAAGTTGTCCTTGATTGCTCTTCTCCTCCGTCTATTTTTTCAAACATTTGCTTTAATGTTCGCTGCAAATAGTAAGCCTTAAAATTGGGTATAACGCCTTGGTCCATTGGTTGGATTAATGTATGTGTGTGTCCGTTGAGATTATTGTATGTATGTATTTTTGTGTGAGCAAACTTTATACAGTAAAAGAACGCGAGAATGATTAGTACCCTTGTAAAACAAATGTTAAATGTGCAGCGGCGCTTAGCAGGCGATTTCTACTGCGGCCTGTGCTGATAATGTGAAACCCTCGGAGACTCTCTCGAGTAGGATCAACTGCTCGGACACAGAGGAGTCGCAACGGGCGTCCACCCGAGGGGCTCGCAAACGTGGAACGAAGAGGGGAGGCAGACTAGCCCCCCTACCACCAACTGGGTGTCCTGGAGGACAGGATGATCCGAGAAGGAAAGGCATGAGCGGTGCCAGCCTGAAGTGGTACCTGAGGCACCTCCAGGAGGGAAGAACTCCAAGCAGAAGTGGGGCAACATCGTACAGGCGACCGGTGGCCACCACTCCGCCTCAAACCCCCCGGGCTGTAGAGGGACAGCGCAGGTACGCGGATGCCCTCAAAGGCACTCGCATGGCTGTGCTGCCGCTGAACTACCCGGCGGACACACTGGGGCCGGAGGAGCTCACCATGCTCCAAGACCTACTCATGGAGGAGGTGTTCAGAGGGTCTGGATACAAAGCCTCCTTCCATGGGGTTTATTCAAAGGAGGCATGCTGCAGGTTGACTGCAAGGTCGGCTGTTTGGCTGAGGGAGACCGCTTCCAAGCTGACAGGCTGGAATGGCTCCATCCTCTGCGCAAAGAAGGGAGACGAAATTCCGCCCATGCATAGCATGACATATTCCTCCCCAAATGCGAAGGAAAGCCGTACGAGTTTGCTCTCGGGCTCATCCGGAACCAGAATGAGGGCCTCTCCACATCGGCCTGGCGTGTGGTCAGCAGCAAGGCCGAGGATTCAGGGTGGAGGCTCAACCTCTGCATAGATGACGAATCGTATAAATTCGTCCGGAGAGTGAGCTTCCGCCTGAACTACAGGTTCAGCTCGGTGGTCCTGAGGCCATTTAAGCCTAAAACTACCACTGAGGGTGATGCAGCAGAAAAAATACAGGTGGATGAGGTTGCAACTCAACCTGAGGCAAGACGGACACAGCACTAGCAATTTAAAGATCTGATGGGACATATACGTCCAGCGCAGAAGAAAGAGCCACAGCCCTTCTACTTGCGCATTTCCCGGAGACAATTCAAGAGGACCAGATCCGACCTATGGTCGAACGAAAGCCATCACGCTTAGATTGGATAGTCGCAAAACAGCTCTTCACTGCAGACTCCATCCAGTGGGCTTTGGTCTCCTTTGAAAGATTTAAGTCTCCGGGGGCGGATGGCATCCTTCCAGCATTTCTGCAACAGGGGGAGCAGGTACTACTGCTCCACCTTGTTCGGCTAATGAGGGATAGCCTAGCGCTGGCATACATCCCAGAACCGCACCGCAAAGGTGATCTTCATACCCAAAGTAAGAAGGAAAGACTACGCATTGGCAAAAATCCTTCAGACCAATCAGTCTTACTCCCTTCCTACTTAAGAGTATGGAAAAGATCATAGACCACGAAATACGAACGAAGGTGCTGAAGGCTTCACCGCTTCATACGAAGCAGCATGCTTACAGGGCAGGCAGATCAACAAATACTGCCCTGTATCAGCTAACCTCGGAGGTTCAAAGTTTGTTAGATGGGGGCGAGGTGATGTTATGCGCCTTCCTTGATATTGAAGGTGCCTTTGACAACACATTTCACGAAAGCGTGACAAGGGCACTGGAGAAAAGGAGTGTGGTAGCGCCGGTACGCAGATGGATTGCATCCGTACTGCGCACTAGGGTAGCTGAAACCTCCGTAGGAGATACCACAATTCGTCTTGGCACAACAAGAGGTTGCCCACAGGGAGGAGTGCTATCCCCCTACTGTGGAGCCTTGTTCAGGGATATGCGGATGACATTGTTATCTTAGCTAGGGGTAAATTCGTAGGCAGACTTCGGTAGGACTTAAACTGTCGAAGCTGCAAAGACTTGCCTGCATCTGCGCGTCGGGCGCAATGCGTACGTGGTATGGTAACCATATGGTAATCAAACATAACATATGGTAATCAAACAGACAGCCAAACAGACTCTACTCCGAATGACAGCAGAGGGAGTTGGCAAAGGGAAAGTAGTCTCATCCCAACAGATGAAAGCGCTAAGTGAGGAAATGCCACTGGCCCTTCTCCCAAGAGACAGTATTACCAAAATAGTATGCTTCACTAAGAAGTTTAAAGTTACCCTTGGCAATAAGGCGGAATGGAATGATTCATCACTGGACCTGCTGCTAAGGGAAAGCAATATCAAGTGGTACACCGACGGGCCGAAAACGGCGGAGGGAATTGGTGCAGGGGTCGCTGGGCCAAACACCAAAATCTCCATTCCCATGGGAAGTTTTCCGAGCATCTTCCAAGCCGAGGTCTATGCTATAAGTCGGTGTGCAGAGATAAAACTCCAACGCAACTACTGCAATAGAAGTATTGCTATACTCAGGCGGCACTAGAAGTGATCTGACCTCATAGGCAGAGATGTGTATAGAACGGCTAAACAGTCTATCAGAACACAACCGAGTCCACCTTATTTGGGTGCCCGGCCACAGGGGTATAGCCGGGAAATCCCTTCACGATCAACTTCAACTTAAAAAGCAGTCGAGGGGTGGTCATTGCGAAACAATCTGGGTATGGCAAGGGTGAAGGGCCCCAAACATGGTCAATTGAATGAGAATGAGACTCATTTCCGATAGCAGCATTATGATTGGATAATTGCAATTTAGTCCAGAGTCCATCACAACTCTACTAAGATGATTGATTTCAGGTTTTTCGGTTTTTTTTGGTATTACAGTCTTCAACTCTGTGCCAGTGGGGTTGACTAGAGTGTCAAATAATTTCAACTGTTACCAAGCAGTATCGTTGGTTAGTTTAGCCCAAAGCTAAAATAATTTAAAATGCCTTCTTTTTCATTATTTAAGACATTTAATTGTCAATAAAAGTTGGCTTAGTTTGGGTTAGAAGCACATCAGTTCTGGCCCCAACATTTTTGTCATCGTAATATAAATCAAAACTAATGTCCATTTTAATAATTATTCACCATTTCGTAAACAATTACTGAAATAAATGTTTTCAATTTTTCGTTAAACATTTTTCAGCTGTTCTATTATCTGTCAAATGTTCATTTTTTTGGTTGGCAACACCAATGTAACTTCGATTGAAAATAGTTGAAGTTCGTAGTACCAAAAAAAAGAGTTTGGAAGAATTGCTTCAACTTCAATTCAACTGAGTGGAGTTCAAAATTGAAATTTATTTATTTATTTAATTATTTAAACGCCAATCGGCAATATACATAGATATAATAAGGAATTCAAATATTATACAAAAGTAGCTAGGGTATATTAGTGTAATATCTGGAAAATATTTAAATAATTGTAAGTTAATATGTAATTCAGACTTGATTTAGATGTAAATTCCAGGATTCCGAAATACATACAACGTCGTACTGGTTAGCCGCTAATGCTGTTTGAAATGTTGATAGTTTTGTACGCAGACCTCTGACGTTCTGGTAGCACAGATGCACGTAAGATACTTTCTTCTTGCTCGTTGAGCGAAGGAAAATTTCTTTTAACGATTCTTGGGACACCATGGATATATTTAATTGTGTTACTGTCATCACCACTCTTCACGATTGAATCAAGCTCTTGACGCAAATTTTTCAGATGAAGTTGTTGAGAGGGAGTTAGATCAGTCTTGAAAATAAAACCTGAGTTTTCGTCTGTTGGTCTGTATTTGATAATGGAAAGTGCATCGGCTACTGAGCGGGTGGTAATGTGAAGAGGACGTGTACGTTTCCAGCAGCTTTACCAGACTCAGGAATATTTAGGGCAATTACGTTGGTTTCACGGCGTTTTCGTTCCGACAGTTCAGAGAAAAACTCTTCCTGGCTGGTAGGCAGCCTCATATCTACGTTTAGCTTGTCTTCAACTGATGTAAGTTTGTCATCCAGGGCAGAACATTGATTTGATAGCGAGACGTTTTGTTCTGACAGTTTGCTTACCTCTTTTCTTAAGTCCTTGATTTCACTTAGAACTGATGTTTTTAGGTCCCTGAACTCACGTTCATAATTTGTTGTAAAACGTTCAAAGTGTCTCTTGAGTAAGGTTTCAATATCCTTTGACGGTGGCGGATCACCTGATGCCTCCTCATCGGAATCCAATACATCACATGTCTTAACACTAATGTCACTTGCACATGAGTCACAGTTCCAAACTGTTTCTTTTTTCTTAATGCTGTTGGCGATGGATTTAAACTCATCGGATGAAAGGTTGGTGCACTTTGAGTGAAACCAACGTCGACAAGCCGCACATTGAATACTTGGCTGCGTTTTATCCCGGATTATGTCTGAGCAATAACCACAAATCTGTTGTGTTGTATCTACTTTTTTGAGTGGCATTTTGTAAGTACACGATACAGGAAAAAAAGATATAATGTTTGTTATGCTTTTTATTATTACACCTCACAATATTACGTCGCACACACCTTTCTTTGTTGTACGAAATTCAATTATGGTTCAATATCAAAATTTAATCGAACTTTTCTTTGTACATCCTTTATATTTTCTTATAAGAATTATTATTTCCTTTTAAGGAAACTTATATGAGGCATTAATTTAATATTCTTTCACTTTTATATATACGATTGATGTAATATTTTCAGATATTACGGAGCACGTTTCACTATGCACACTGCACATGTTTACAGCTACCTAACCAAAAATTGGAAATATGGGTATTTAAAACCAATTACATAATTGTTATTATAATCTATATGTCCTAAGATACCATCATATTTAGATAATTTGTGTCAGGTAAAGGGAATATAATTTTACTTTATTTTATTTTGTTTAATTATATATTATAGATTTGCTATAACATTTTCTTTTTTAATATTACATATGAAGAATGATTATCCATATTAAGTTAAACAAAAATGGGATAAATGAAACAGATTACAACACAAACAAAAGATAATTATAATGAAATCAGATTAAAACTGATGCGTCGTCGTTCAATTATAAAATAAGCGATTTTCATAAATACATATTTAAATATGCACTAATATACGATAAATCTCAGTTCTGTCCTTAGACCAATTCAAATTCAACAAACTTACGACTTTAAAGCTTATTATTCAATTTTTACATACATATGTGTGTATGGAACTGTAGCTATTAAAGCATGAACTTTCCACATTTCTTAATTAGTGAAAAATATGTTTTAAGATTATTCATCTTATCAAACTTTCTTTCAACAACGTCCTACTGCAGTCGCTCTTTTATATTTCTATTAAATAATTATTATCTTAATCGTATATTTTACCCACGATTCTATGAAGTACAACAAATTTATTGGTAAATATTCTAACCCTTTTTATCGACAAAGAATTGCTTCTCATGAGTAACACACACATTTAGAAAGGGCGAGCTAAGTGTAAAAATACCGATATATGGTAACTATAAAAAGTCACTGCGGTGAGAAGATGCCTCAGCAAAGTTAAACGCCTGCAAAAATAATCTTCGCTATCGGGTCAATACTTGTATTTAATTAATTTTAGGACTGTAAACACCGTGACATTCAAATACACAGTTTAATAGTGTTTTAAGCTCCTGAAGTGACCACACTGAAATATTACATAAAATAACTTCAAAGATCCATTATAATGTTTACCACATTTTTAAGGAGTTTTATCATCCATATCTTTTAATTCGTAGCTTTCGTATTTTATATAGTTAATCATTGTCTTCTTCATTTTCACATTTCTAGGTTGCTTAAATAGCTATAAAATATGTGTATCTCATCTAAAATGCAAAACAACGTATCATCAAAAAGTTCGAAATTGAGTTTTTTATTAATTACAATTTACTACATACATATATCATATTACATATTTGACTTTTAAGCTATTGCTCAGATATAACCAAATTAAAATTCTTTCCTTTATATGAGTAGTTTTTAGTTTATATCGCTTTTTTTCTTCTCATGTAAACATATAAAAAATGATGTTACGTTATTTTGCATTTAAGGTGACGATATGTAGCTCTGTTCGTTTAATTCATTTTCACTTTAAGAATATACATATGTTTTTAGATATATATGTTCATATTAAGTTCAAAATATATACAGATTTTTTATTGTAATTCGTTTAATATTTCAATTTCACTTTCAAATTCGTAGTTTAAATTGTGAAATAATAAATCAGGAGGCACGTATTTGGAACTAAAGGACTAAATCATTGATTGTTTTTACTTCCTGTGTTAATAATTTTTAACAATACACACGTATATATATGTTTCAACAATGGATAAAAATATCAATTACAAATAAATATAACACAGAAATACTCAGGATCCACCCACTTTTTACCATAACTTAATTTATGGAAGATACCACAAAAGTAACAACTACAAAAATTAGTTCTAATTTAACCCAAAAACAAGTTTTAGAACTCGGCGTAGATTTGACTAAAGAATTCAGAATATAATATGCTTATTCCGATTACGATATTAATTTAAGCATGTATAGTCAAGTTATAAATTAAATTCACATTAATTCGACTATAGAACTTAGAAAAAACTCTTTGTCATCTATCCACTAAATGTTTGTTTGCAAACTTCGCGGCGTACTAACTGAAAGGCAATTAAACGCAAGTAGGTGTATGAGAAACGGCCGCTTCAAGATTTAAATCTTTACTGCGACAGCACATCTCACAAATCCGTTCGGTATTTGGATTTAGAAAAGTGCAGAAGCGGCAACTCCATTCATTCTGATCGCTTATGGTCAGCTGTGGGTTCAACACCACTGCAGCAGGTTGCTTTCGTGTCTTTGACCGAATGGTTCTCTCCGATTGTATTTCAATGTTACCATTATTATTGTCATACGCCGAATTTGTGGAGAGGTTAGACGTTTGCTTTAAGCCCGATTTTGTTTTCTTTACTGGTTGTGGTTTGAATATAGATTTCTCTTGTTTATTACCAACACCGACTACTTTCTTTTCGTCACGTTTTTCAACTTCACGCCACGCAGTGGGTGTACCTGATTTTTCTAGCAAAGATGCTTTGTTTAGGTCATTATTAGTATGTCGTCCAGCCTTTGTCGATTCCGTCTGATTTGATCGCCGCCTCTCTGCGTTGGTTTTAGAACCACTGTTGCTTCCTCCGCCACCATTCGACAAATTCATTGAATCCAAATTTAAACCCTGAACTAGAAGATCACCACGTTCATCTAAATCCTTTGAATAGCCAGCTCGCTCCAAGTTTTGGAAAACATAATTCCACGATTCGTAAGAGCCAACCCCATCTTGATTCTTAGAGGCTTGAGTCGGGGAACGTTGCTCACTGCGACCCAATATTGCGAAATCATCGAAGTTCGATTCAAAACTTAAATCAGACGCTTCGTTAATATTCGAAGACATTTTTCTTTTGCTACCACCTCCAGACATTCCATTCAACAAAGCTGTACTATCCCTCAATTCCATATGCTGCAGTTGCAAATGTTTATCATTATTGTCAAGAACATCCTAAATGAAAAATATGTTATTATAATGTTTTCCTCTTTGCCAGGTCTTAAAATTTGCCTATGTTAATATTGTAAATATAAAATTATATTGTGCTACGTAAATATTGCATTAAAATATAATTCTGATACCAGCTATGGCAATGGTGCGCAAGCGAAGCCAGCCTTTACATATATACAACAAATCGTTCAGTAGTCGTTGATCAGACTTCATGCGGGCACGCCTCTTAACCAATTACAAATCAGTATACATACAAGTATACAAATTTTTATAATATACTATCTCTTTGAGTTGGGCATAGCTGATTTATACCTATCCATATTATTTGTAATGGAGTATCTAGAAATTAATTATACTCAAAGAAATTTTACAAGAATCATGCTATCGGAATAGTGTCCAATCCTTGGGAAAAATTTACTTTTCAAAATAGTCAATATTCTTTAAATTCGTGTCTTTATAGTTTCAGTTTGAAACTTAAATAAACTGCTAAAGAGATAAGTCATTTTAATTATGTTTAACTGATTAAATCCTTATTCTTACCATTACATTTGAATTTCTTTCTGGATTCGTTGCAATATTAGTTGATGTATTGTTTTTTAAACGATCAACTTTCGGCAATGGTCGTGCATGAGCATAATTGCCATACATGTCGTCAGAAGAGGGATGCTGAGAAGCGGTTATCATGCCTACATGTGGTACATATTGATGGTCCATTATAATATCCTTCGTTTGTACATAAGCCGTTGGGCTGTTCGCAACACGACTAAAGCGCCGTTGCTGGTCGAAAATTCGTTCCCGATCATAATCAAAGGAATTACAATGTGGTAACCCATGTAGTTGAGCATGAAAATCGTGGGATTTAAGTGGTGCACGATCGTCAAATTCGATTAATTGTTGGTCTGGGGGAAAGGAACGTTGCCGGTATGCTTGAAAATCTTTACCACCAGCCACTACAGATGATTGACGTATAGGTGGCAACGGCGGTTGTTGATAGTTGTAGTTGTGCGACTTTGACACGGATGCGTAGCCGCCGTTATCCGTATTATTATAAGGATCACTCTTAATACCGTTACACGTGACATTAGAAGTTGCGTAATGGGTGTTCAACTGATTTGAAATATTGTACGGGAGTGGATATCGGTTGCCTGACACGTTGTAGGGATGAGAATAAGCTGAGTTCATGCCACAATTATTCATTGCGCTATTTGAGCCAATCCCTGAAGCGACGACGGCCGCATAAGAAACACTACTTTCACCCATACTGGCGCCATCCAAGCAATCATAAGGGGATTCATACACGTGTTGAGGTGGCAATTGGTGCGAAAGTTTGTAATGATGCGCCGTGCAACCCTTTTGTTGATGATCAAATGAATGTCTATGTGGCAACTGTGGCACCGGTTCACTGTAATGATCTAAGCTTCTAGAATGCTGCATACCTGCTGAGGACATTCCGTAACCAACTTGGTGTGGTAGTTGATATCCAGATATTGGATATGAAGGCATCTTACTGTTTCCATTGTATAAATGATTCGTTACTGTTGACGATACAGGCGCGTGAATAGCGCAAGTTCCATGGTTCTCGTTGTGCACCCCGTATTGTGTTCCTGCTGGTATGCGATTATAAATCGAACAATTCGTACACTCTGGTGTAGCCAATGTTTGTTGAATACTGGCGTAACAATTATCTGCATCAGAACTCGTGAATGTTTTATCTGGTTAAGTAGAGAACTAGAAGGATTAGGTACTCACCAATATTTATAAGTTTCTCCTTTCGCATTTGCCTTTCTTGAATGCCATAACCCAAACCTTTTATCGCTTGAGAAGATCCTCCTGATGATTTTTTAAAAGTTAAATTACCAAATTGTCCGTTAATTTTTTAGTAAATAATAAATATTACTTACCAATGTACTTCTCGCGATAGTGAAATATATCTTGCCAAGAACAAGTAACCCCAAGTGCAACAAGACCTGAATAAATATGTTCCATTATTTGGCACTCAACGTAGGCGGCCATTGCATCACGCGATACGTTTGTCACTTGATCAGGACAAATAGGACCATCCAATACAAGAATCTCTTCCGAAACCTGTCTGTAACCCATAGCTTCGAAAAGCTTTTCAGCATCTAACAAATTTGATTTAATTTCATGATGATAGAAACCTGAATACATCTGAACGAAAACCGAACGTTTTGATTCTAATAAATTATACATGTGTTTAAGACAAACCTTTAAAACTCTAAACTCTTTGCGCCAGGGCTTGGTAAATAAATTATTAGCATAGTGACTGATTGATCTAAATCCAATGATAGCCTTATACGCATTGAACTCGTTCATTTCTCGTATCGATTTCCTCAGTACATGAGCAGTTTCCGGTAAAAAAAACTTCCGATCATGAGGCACAATACACAGAAACTCCTTAAGACAATCTACAAGGACATTTAAAAATCGTTATTTTATATTTTAAATAAATTTAAAAAATAATTTACTCTCTAATTTTTTTCCTTCTTCAATCTTTTGTATGCTTCCATCGGTGTCCAAATATGTCCAATGACGTTTAAGGATTTCGTCCCATAAGTCAGGAAGCATATCGCGTGGCATAAAGTCAGACATTTTGCCAACCTGCTAAAAGTATACAAATTTATTTTAAAAAATCTGACCGACTTTATAATCAAAAAATGATATTTGCTTCATAATAACTATATATTGTGTCCAAGTTGTTTCTTTGGAAATGTGGTTAAATTAGGTAATATACAGAAATAAACATATTGGGTGTATGCATTAATTCGTGCGGTTTTCTAAGAGAGGGCTCTACTGAACAACAATTTGTTTCATTCATTTGAAAATGTCGAAATTTGTACCAGATAAAGTGTTTTTGCGGGGAGTTCTTCTTCATTACTTTAACATGAAGAAAAGTGCTACCGAAAGCCATCGTATATTACCGGACGTTTATGGTGACCATGCTTTAGCCGTACGAACGTGCCAAAAGTGGTTTGCATGGTTTAAAACTGGCAATTTCGACTTAGACGAAGAATTGGAGACATTGCTCGACGCAGATGCATCCCAGACGCAAGAAGGACTTGCAAAAGTATTAGAAGTTGATCAAGCAACCGTTTTCAGACGATTAAAATCATTAGGATTCATCCAGGAGCTTGGATATTGAGTGCCTTATGAATTAAAGCCAAGCGACGTCGAACGTCGATTCTGCATGTCGGAAATGTTGCTTCAACGCCACCAAAAGAAGTAATTTTTTCATCGGACTGTCACTGGCGGTGAAAAATGGATTCATTATGATAACCCAAAGCGCAAGAGATAGTATGTGAAACCCGACCAACCATCGACATCCACGGCAAAGCCGAATATCCATGGTCCCAAGGTTATGCTATGTATTTGGTGGGACCACAAGGGTGTGCTCAATTATGAGCTATGGAAATCGGGTCAGGCGATCAATGGGGACCTCTACCGAAAACAATTGATTCGTTTGAAAAATGCCATGGCGGAAAAACGAACAGAATATACGACCAGACACGAATAATTTTATATCAAGACAATGCTCGGCCACATGTTGCAAGGCCAGTTAAAAACTATTTGGAAAACTGTGGGTGGGAAGTTCTACCTCACCCGCCTTATAGCCCAGACATAGCACCTTCCGATTACCACTTGTTCAGATCAATGCAGGATGACCTCACCGGAGTACGCTTCACTTCAGAACAGGGTATCAGAAATTGACTCGATTCTTTCTTGACCTCCAAGCCCGCGAAGTTCTTTTGGGATGGGATCCACAAACTGCCAGAAAGATTGGCAAACATAGTATCTTTCGTTGAGCAATACTTTGAACATTAAATGTATTACAGTTTTTTCACAATAAAGTCTTAATTTTCGAAAAAAAAAACCGCACGAAATAATGCATACACCCAATACTAAGATTACTATAATTGTTTTTCAAATTGAAATGCGCGATTTTTCATATCAGTCTTCGTTCAGATCTTTACATACATTTACTTTTAAAGATTAACGTACTACCACTTGCGTTATATTCTTTTTGTATGTAACCAACACACAACGAATAGAAAATATAATATCAGCACAAAAACCATAGTTATAGAAATATTAAGACATGAAGAAATTGGCTTGCAAAGATTTTCGAATAATTCTATATTTAAATGGATTTAATCTTCTTCACCTTCTTTGGTAAATTACAGTTGATCCGAAGTTTCCGCTCCTCATTACAAAACCGACATTTCTCAAAGAGTCTATTACCATGTTATATCCCCGCAGCATGGTTTGCCAAGCGTATGACAGAACTTTGCTTCAGGTTCCAGCCACTCCGCTCCATCGTCCTCTCGGAAAAGCTCTTTTATGGTATGGGGTTCCCTTGATTCTGGCCCCAATAGCTTGGTAGCTGCTGCAGAGCAAGCTTTTCCATCTATGCCCTTGTGCCGCGGTACTCAAATTAGGTTGTTGTTTGCTGTAGCGGTTATCTAATCCCCGCTTGGGTGGTAAGGTTCGGGTTGGTTGTCATTGCAGTCATCTAACGGTAGGCCCAGGAAACGTGCCATAGGGAGAAGGGTGTTAGATGAGTAGAATTCGTTGGTCATGCAAAGAGGTAGTTAGTGTCATGCAAGGACTCATTGCTTGCTGGACATATATTTGGTATGTCGAGGTCGATTCTGGATAAGTTGAGTTTAACCTGCTGCAGTATCCAGAACGAATTTGCGCAAGGTCACTCTAGATTCTCATGGGAAACCAAGCTCTTCGCTTGCAATGGGTGGTGGTATGACTCCTAGTACGCTATTCACTGAGAGGGAGTCGGTGAAGGTGTTAATGACTCCACTGTAAATGGCGGTCAGTGCGTGTTTGAAGTTATTTGCGTCCGAAATTTGGTAGACGTTCTTTTCGATGTCGTCGACGTAATTAAGGAAGGACTTCTTGATGTTGCTAGGAGGCGGCTCCGCTTTAAGCAGACGACCGCAAGGATGGTTTCTGTAAAAAAAATCCCAGCGGAAACTGCTTGGAGATAAGCTCGTTATGTTCCTTATCGGTGCGGCGTAGTTTATGACCGGCCGGCCGATTGAATTGTATATTACCAACAACGTTTATTTGCTTTACTCCATTAGCTGCCGCATAGCGACATGAGGATTTTGTTGCAGATCTGTACTTTGGCAGTGATCGCGGTCGTATGAGGAGTAAAGGGACACAGGCTGTCGAATGTTATAAAATTTTAGGATTATTGACAGCCGGAATTTCGACACCATCAACTGTATTGTTAAGATCAAATCTGTACTCCAGTTCGTGAATACGGCCGCTATGGATTTAATGGGGAAGAGTGTCAACCTCCTAGCCGAGAAGCGAGAAAAGTAGGAAAAATAGCAGTTTACTTTTCAGCACATGCCATCAATTCCATTACCCGCCGTCAATATCGTGAAATCATCAGCGTACGAAGTGATGGAAATTCCCTGTGGTGATTGAGGGAGTTTCGAAATGCAGAAGGCAACAGTAACGGTCCTGTTGTTGACCGCTCTTCAAATACCAGGCAGGTGAAAAGTCGGAAGAGTGGTCCCACTACTGAAACCAGGGAAACCCGCCAACAAAGGGGAGTCTTATCGTCCGATAACTCTCCTTTCTCCAATAGTGAAGACACTTGAGGTCTTGATACTTCCGACGTTCACTCACCACATGACTTTAGCAGACCGTCAGCATGGCTTCCGTAAAGTGCACAGTACCACCACAGCACTTAGCGTCATAAACGCCCAGATAGTTCATGGCCTGAACCAGAAGCCACCCTGCGAGAGGACGATCCTCGTAGCGTTGGACTTGTCAAAAGCTTTTGACACAGTCAATCACGCAACGCCACTTGAGGACCTGGAACAATCAACGCTCCCTCCAGGGCTGAAGCGGTGGACCATGAACTACCTGAGCGGTCGACACTCATCCGTACTATTTCGAGGTCAAAACTCCAAACTCAGGAAAATTAAACAGGGGGTTCCGCAGGGCGGTGTCCTCTCCCCGCTACGGTTTAATTTCTACATTTCGAAACTCCCCCAGCCACCAGCGGGAATTTCAATGACCTCGTACGCAGATGACTGTACGATATTGACGTCGGGCAATGGAATCGATGGCATGTGCTCAAAAGTAAACGGCTACCTCTCCGATCTTTCTCGCTTCTTTTCTGCAAGGAACCTAACACTCTCTCCCACTAAATCCACAGCGACCATCTTCACCAATTAGACGAAGGAGTACAGACTGGACCTGAACATTTCAGTCGATGGCACAAAAATTCCGACAGTAAATAACCCTAAAATTTTAGGCGTCACTTTGGACAGTCTGTGCTCTTTCACTCCTCATACGACCGCGATAACTGCCAAAGTACAGAGCCGCAACAAAATCCTCAAATCGCTTGCCGGCAGCTCATGGGGAAAGGACAAAGAAACGTTGTTGGCAACATACAAGGCAATCGGCCGGCCGGTCCTCAATTATGCAGCCGCAATATGGACTATCACGGGGTGCCTCTTGATGTCCCCAATCGAACACCTACATAGCGAGGCCCGTATGCTTCCGGTTAAGGAACATAACGAGCTCCTCTCCAAGCAGTTTCTGCTGGGATGTTTTTGCAGAAACCACCCCTGCAGACGCCTGCTTGCAGCGGAGCAGCCTCCTAGGAACATCAAGAGGTCCTTCCTTGACTACGTCGACGACATCAGACAGCACGCCGACCAGACTTCGGACGCAACTAACTTCAGACAAGCACTGACCGCCATTCACAGTGGAGCCATTAACACCTTCACCGACTCCCTTTCAGTGAATGGCGTAGTACGAGTCAAACCACCACCCATTGCAGACACAGAGCTCGAGTTGCCTCGCGAATCTAGAGTGACCCTCGCGCAACTTCGTTCTGGATACTGTAGCAGGTTAAACTCCTACCTATCCAGAATAGACCCTGACATACCAAACACATGTCCTGCATGCAATGAGTCTCCGCATGACACTAACCACCTCTTTGCATGCCCAACAAACCCCACTCATCTAACACCCCTTTCCCTATGGTCCGACCCCGTCGAAACAGCTCGTTTCCTGGGCCTTCCGTTAGATGACCTCGACGACAACGAATCTAGAATTTATCACCCAAACGGGGATTAGATAATCGTTATAACAACAACAACATGGCTCCATCCATTGCATGTGTTACACCTTACCAAGATGGAGTTTGGATGGAGCCTTTTAGCGCAAACGCAACAGAAAAATTCCTCCGGGCCCGGGTTACACTCAATGTCAGCACGTGTCAGGAGGATACGGAGCAACCCTGCTGCTACGAGTGCACAAAAATGGAAAAATAAGCACGAATTATGGAGAAAAGTCCAGGAAGCATGGTATTCAATAACGGTCACGACTTGGACTAACATTGTCAGCTCCATGTCGCGAAGAAGGCAAGAGGTGGTTCAAATAAAAGGAGTAACAACAAAATATTTGATTTCAATGGAAGAAAAGTAATAATTAAATAAAATAACACACAAAAAAGTAATATTTGTATTTCCATGCTGAAATACAAAATGGATCCGTTTTCACTTTGTAAACTCAAATAAACTTAAAATAACTTTTGAAATGTTAAATAATTGTCTAAAAATAATATTTAAATTATTTTATTGTATATCCTTTAATTTTAAATATTTTTTTGAAAATTTAAAATTTATCCCTTTGTCCCTATTATTTTTTCAAACACCATATATTCAAAAGCATATTTGAGTTTCCGTTGCGCCTGGTAGATGACGCAGATATCAGATTCTAAGATAGCATAAGTATAGTTTAAACCATGAAGACTATAAACATATGCATGGTGTATAGTGTCTAAACAATCATACTGTTATGCTACTATAGATAGTTAGTGTTATGCTAGTATAGCAGTATCCGGCTAGTCGTAAGTCGTCGACTATTCGATTAACCTAATTTTCGACTATACGGTTAACCGTTCGTTGTCGACTATTCGAATAATAACCGTTTTTTCAAAAAAAAAACCAAGAGGCAAAAATCAAAGGCTGCTTGGATTTCAAACAACTTTAATTTATTCAAATACTCGCAGCACAACAACTAATCGAATAGTCGAAGTAGAACGACTATACATATATGGTATATTCAAGATACGGACTTATAGTGCGTTTTTTAAGAAAAACAGTATATTTTAAAAATTACTTTGCGCACCCATACTGCACTAGCGGCCTTTGGTTGCGCTTCAAAAAAATAACCCTGTTCGCTCCAACACCGGGGTCTCCATAGTTCTTTTGCGTGCATTAGGGAGTTGGAAGCGAAAGAACCATGAACACGACCAGGGTTATTTATTTAAAGCGCAGCCAGTGCAGAAAGGATATCGACGCGAAATAACATGTACAAAGTGTGTTAAGTTTTTGAATTGAACGCAATTCAACTTCAGATCAACCGAACCCTTATTTGGTATCACGATTTTCAACTATTTTCAGTCGAAGTTTAATTGGTGTTGTCAACTTATAAAATGAATATTTGACAGATAATTAAACAACTGAAAATTTTTAAACGAAAAATTAAAACAACTGAATTTAGTTATTGCTCACAAAAAGATGAATAATTATTAAAATGGGCATTAGTTGTAATTTATATTACGATGATAAAAATGTTGGGGCCAAACCTGATGTGCCTCCCATGAGAAAAAGCATTTGTGATCACCTCGAGCTCAACACATTTTTCTCGGGTCGGCTTTAGAACGCGGGGATAAAATGGGTATGGGCGGATAGAGGAGGTCCTCCAGATCAAGAATAAATATAGATATTTACGTTTAATGTTAAAAATTTTAACTATTTAAAGGACGTATTTTTTCGATTTAAAATGAATTGTATACATATATTTTTCACTTTTATGTCCACAAACACTTCACTAAATCGTTTTTGGACAATTATTTTATATTATATGATTCAAAAATTGCTTTATTTCAATATTTAAATTATTCTTAAATTCTATAATTTTGACAGTAACAAAAGGGTTGTAAATATCAAATAAACCGTGTTGTCATACTAATATATTTCGCAAATGAAGAAAAACAAAATAAAAAGGGAGATTATACCCCAAATACAGGAAGCATAATCGTTGATGGACACTAACAAATCTTTTAGTTTCCCCGGTGTTGGATTGACAAAGGTTATTTTCAACACAAATAGAAATTCTGCGCGAAAAAACCTTGATACACCCCGGTATTGGACCGACCAGGGTTATTTTTTTGAGGCCGAAGTCCGACAACGCAAAAAGGAGTTTTACAAAAAAAAGTAACATTGTCATAGAGGGTATAACATAATAATATGTTATATTTCATTTTTCTAGGTTTTGGATTCCTGTATTTGGGTTATTATCTGTTTTAATTTCTTTCAGTTCGTTTACAAAAGATGTCGATAAGGTAACAATGGTTATTTGACATTTTGCAACCCTTTTGTTATTGTCATAATTAAATGAATTTAACAATAATTAAATTTCAAGTTAAACTATTTTTGCACTGTATAATGTAGAATAAATGTGTACAAACGAATTATTGAATTGTTAGTGGATATAAAAGTGAAAAATATAAGTGTATAATTCATTTTAAAGTAATTGAAATTTTCAACTTTGAACGTAAATATCTCGAAAACTGTAAAATGACTATATACTTTAATATATATATTCTTTATCTGAAGAATCTACTATATCCAACTATACCCCTCTTAACCCTGAAATTGTAGGATGGTATACTAAAGTTTCCCCTTTTTTTGGCAAACATTCAAATTTCTAACAAAAGGGGCAAATCTAGAAACACCACCTCGCCGGCAAAACGTCAGCCTAAAAGATGTAGCCCGCCCAGGCATCAGGCTGTTCTCAATAGTATTTTTGGCTATTTACTTTTTTGTAAAAAAGATGTTTAACCAGCAACGAAGAACGAAGATTTCTAAAAAAAAATTTATATATGAAGTTCACTCAATATGCACTTACAAATCTTCTTATCGTATAATGATGAATAATCGCTGCATACAAATTTATTTGCACTTTTATATTTATGTATTAAGGCATTCCATGATTTACTCGTACAAATAAAGGAAATTAAATAGCACAAATGCTGTGCTATGTATAATTTTCACACTTGCTAAAGATGCGGAGGTGGTTGTTATTTTTAGGTCCTCCTGCTGCCGAAATTTACACAATAATCAACTCGCACAAATTTAAATTCTTTATTCCACTACATCCTTAAAATTTACATTTCTTTATACTTCAGTAAATTCATTTGAGAATTAATAATCACACCCAGGCTAGATTGCATAAATATTTTCTTTTGACGCAGCAGCAGCTATACAAAGGAATGCAGCTCCGCATTTACATTTTTTTTTTATTTGTACAAACTACAAATAATGTGATTAAAAGAAATCTAAACGTTTTTAAATTCACTCGAAAACTATAAATATTTAATTAAGACTTTGAAATATTTTCTTTATAAACACTTTTGTTGTTTCGCGACCAATGCATAAATGTACAAGTAACAAATCCTAAGATTTTCACTAACACATACCCAAAAAATTGACATTTGGCATGGGTTGCCCCTAAATATTTTAGTACTAAAAGGGAACCCATTACAGTTCTACTACGAAAAGAGCACTTGGTACGGGTTGCCTAGAGCCAGTTCATACACTGATTCTTTTGTAACCCAAAACGGTTTATTGTGAGCTAGGGGACGACGAAGAAAAACGAAGGGACCGTGCAACTCGTGCTCGGATGGCACGCTTTTTGTTCTTGTTCGTAACAGCTCGCTGCTACCATTTATAACATTCCTTTTCACTTTCAAATTTTTTGAATGGTTGCAGGAGCGCTCGGTTTCAAATGAATATAAACCATTCGTTCAGAAATTTGAATTCTGTTATCTATTTTATGTATGTGATATGCAAGTATGTAAGCATAAAATAATAGAAATATTTAACGATGACACATGTAGAAAGTGCAAGGAAGTAGGCATGAGAGAGCCGCTGGAACACCTCCTATATTTACAAGTATGTCCGACCTTATCTAGAATTCGGCTTAGATATTTACGAGCTTCGCACTTCAAGCGACTGGAGTAAATATTAGAAATAGATATCAAGCCCCTATTAAACGAGTTGACGTCCTGCGCGACGTAAATTTAAGCTCGTATTAATAAACTCCATCTGGCATTACAAAGGTCCTGAAGGTCTATGGCGTGACAGTCAGCCAGTATAACCTAACTTAAGCCATTAATTGAGAATTTTAGGCAACGTGCTAGGCTACTACGACGCTACCTGCATTCGGTGCACATATGGACATTCATAATTATATCGTCCTATATACTTAAATACATATACATTAACATCTTTTAATCAACTACAAAAATATAATTTTTACTTAATTCTTTCATCTTAATTTTAGTTTTCAATATTTCGGTTAGATAATTAAACGTCTTATATAAAGTATGTATTGAATGGAATAAATAATAGGTTGACTTTTCATTCGGTTACTGTACGAATAATTATTATTTATTTATCCGTTACCGTACGAATAATTTGTAATTATATAACCGATTACAATAATTCATAATTCAATCGCGTCAAACTCCTTTCTGCACTGGTGGCCTTCGGCCGAGCTTCAAAAAAATAACCCTGTATTTTTGTAAGTAGTGTAATCATAACCTTAAAAAAAAATTACCGGACTAGTAAACACAGAAAAATACCAGCTAATTATCCGGTTCATTCTGTGTTAAAAAAAAAAAACGAATTTGACCGGATGACTTATTATAAATTATTCGTACATTACCCGGACGAATAGTCACTGCGTAAATAATAACATTTACAAATGAATAATTACGAATTAATATCATACTTGTTATGTATGCAGCGGGTCTTTTAAATTCGTTTATTCCTGAATGCATATCTGTATTTTTGTTTTTATGTTGTCAAAATTTTACCTAGCTCGGGAGCTGGCTAAATTCTGACACTCTGATTCGGTATGAAAAACATCAAAATTACACTTTTATCTGTCAGAAATTGAAATGTGTACGTTCATATTGTAACGGATTTCTCGATAAATCGTCTACCTGTAACTCACTCTTGAGTTCGATCACTGGATTGTTAAATAAAAGTCCCAATTTAATGGCTTTTATCTCTATTTCTAATTCCAACAACTTAACACTTATTGCTCGTTATTCGAGCTTACAACTTCTTGCTTATAGCTTAATTGCTCTTATCACGACAACACTCTAACTAGAACCTCTGCTAGAACTGTGTTTGCTGCACAATCTGACAGCCCTTATATAGTAAATCTGTAACAAAACATTGCTTCTAGAACATTCTGGCAACTACGAATTCGCTAACTAGTTGCTTCTGGCAGTTTATCGTTGATTCGATTTTGTTCTATCATCCGTGTTCGTCACAATATCTTTCTTAAGCGGCCTTTACACGGTCATTCATGTTTTCAAGCATATGCGGCGTGATGAGAAGAATGAGCGTGTAAACATCATAAATTCGTGTTCGTCATACATGTGCGATGGTTTTTAAAAACATGATGTCATGAACATGTTTTATGGTGTAAACGCTTGCATCATGCACGCAGTATATTTTTTCAGTCGTAAGTGCCGTTTCACATTGGGACGCAAAAGAGTCTCATACCAGTTTATTGTGGGTGAGGGGACGACGAGGAAAGACGAAGGGACCGTGCCACTCGTGTTCGGGTGGCACGCTTTGTGTTCTTGTTCGTAACAGCTCGCTGCTACCCTTTTCAGCATTCCTTTTCACTTTCAAATCCTTTGAATGGTTGCAAGAGCGCTCGGTTTCAAATGAATTCGATCGCAAATTTGAGTTCTGTTATCTATTTTTGTATGTAATATGCAAATACGTATGCATAGAATAATAGAATATTATGACAAATTGTAAATAAGGAAAATTAAGATATAGATTATGGAGTAAAGAAATTATGATTTTTAATACGGAGTAAAGAAATTATGAGTTTTAATACTTAAGATTAGGAAATTCCTATTATAAATTTGGCCTTGAAAATATTAGTAGCGGATATTCAATACATTCTTGTGGATTAGGGAATTCCCGTCTTTAGTATTTTTGAAACTATTTAGCGGGAGGTACTTGTATTATGCATATTGTTCTCATATTCATGGTAATATTGCAGCAAATGTGCTAACATATGTGTGTGTTGCTCAGTCGAAACAAATATTACGAACATTTTGTGAAAGGAATCAAAAAACTTATACTCGAGTTGCTGGACTCTTTTGACCGTGTGAATGCCCAGAGCACACCAAATTGAAAAACATCAGACTCTTTGCATCCCAATGTGAAACGGCACTAAGCAAACATTGATGCGTAATGACGTCACGGGATAACTGTGGAAGGACTTCTTGAAATTTATCTAAGCGTTCTGGAGCTGGATTATAAATTTAAAATCATATAATATATAAAACATATAAATAAAAATTAACAAAAACAATACAAGTCATAATAAATATCATGGTTTTATGATGAACGTTTTAAATTAAATTAGCAAATAAATTTTTTGCAGTTGGTCAAAATATTTGTGTCGTCCCTGAAATTTCGTTTCGCACTGCTTTTATTAGCTATTTTTAGCGGTTTATTTCTGGCATCCCATTTTTGACATCTCTAATATCATCTCTCTC